TTGGAGATGCGGGCTCTTTTTTGGTTCCATATGAACTTTAAAGCAGTTTTTTCCAATTCTGTGAAGAAGCTCATTGGTAGCTTGATGGGGATGGCATTGAATCTATAAATTACCTTGGGCAGTATGGCCATTTTCACGATATTGATTCTTCCTATCCATGAGCATGGTATGTTCTTCCATTTGTTTGTGTCCTCTTTTATTTCACTGAGCAGTGGCTTGTAGTTCTCCTTGAAGAGGTCCTTTACATCCCTTGTAAGTTGGATTCCTAGGTATTTTATTCTCTTTGAAGCAATTGTGAATGGAAGTTCATTCCTGATTTGGCTCTCTGTTTGACTGTCACTGGTGTATAAGAATGCTTGTGATTTTTGCACATTAATTTTGTATCCTGAGACTTTGCTGAAGTTTCTTATCAGCTTAAGGAGATTTTGGGCTGAGACAATGGGGTTTTCTAAATATACAATCATGTCGTCTGCAAACAGGGATAATTTGACTTCTTCTTTTCCTAACTGAATCCCCTTGATTTCTTTCCCTTGCCTGATTGCCCTAGCCAGAACTCCCAACACTATGTTGAATAGGAGTGGTGAGAGAGGGCATCCCTGTCTTGTGCCAGTTTTCAAAGGGAATTTTTCTAGTTTTTGCCCATTCAGTATGATATTGGCTGTGGGTTTGTGATAAATAGCTCTTATTATTTTGAGGTACGTTCCATCAATACCGAATTTATTGAGCGTTTTTAGCATGAAGGGCTGTTGAATTTTGTCAAAAGCCTTTTCTGCATCTATTGAGATAATGATGTGGTTCTTGTGTTTGGTTCTGTTTATATGCTGGATTATGTTTATTGATTTGCAAATGTTGAACCAGCCTTGCATCCCAGGGATGAAGCCCACTTGATCATGGTGGATAAGCTTTTTGATGTGCTGCTGAATCCGGTTTGCCAGTATTTTATTGAGGATTTTTGCATCGATGTTCATCAGGGATATTGGTCTAAAATTCTCTTTTTTTGTTGTGTCTCTGCCAGGCTTTGGTATCAGGATGATGTTGGCCTCATAAAATGAGTTAGGGAGGATTCCCTCTTTTTCTATTGATTGGAATAGTTTCAGAAGGAATGGTACCAGCTCCTCCTTGTACCTCTGGTAGAATTCAGCTGTGAATCCATCTGGTCCTGGACTTTTTTTGGTTGGTAGGCTATTAATTATTGCCTCAGTTTCAGAGCCTGCTATTGGTCTATTCAGGGATTCAACTTCTTCCTGGTTTAGTCTTGGAAGAGTGTAAGTGTCCAGGAAATTATCCATTTCTTCTAGATTTTCCAGTTTATTTGCGTAGAGGTGTTTATAGTATTCTCTGATGGTAGTTTGTATTTCTGTGGGGTCGGTGGTGATATCCCCTTTATCATTTTTAATTGCGTCGATTTGATTCTTCTCTCTTTTCTTCTTTATTAGTCTTGCTAGTGGTCTGTCAATTTTGTTGATCTTTTCAAAAAACCAACTCCTGGATTCATTGATTTTTTGGAGCGTTTTTTGTGTCTCTATCTCCTTCAGTTCTGCTCTGATCTTAATTATTTCTTGCCTTCTGCTAGCTTTCGAATGTGTTTGCTCTTGCTTCTCTAGTTCTTTTAATTGTGATGTTAGAGTGTCAATTTTAGATCTTTCCTGCTTTCTCTTGTGGGCATTTAGTGCTATAAATTTCCCTCTACACACTGCTTCAAATGTGTCCCAGAGATTCTGGTATGTTGTATCTTTGTTCTCATTGGTTTCAAAGAATATCTTTATTTCTGCCTTCATTTCGTTATGTACCCAGTAGTCATTCAGGAGCAGGTTGTTCAGTTTCCATGTAGTTGAGTGGTTTTGATTGAGTTTCTTAGTCCTGAGTTCTACTTTGATTGCACTGTGGTCTGAGAGACAGTTTGTTATAATTTCTGTTCTTGTACATTTGCTGAGGAGTGCTTTACTTCCAATTACATGGTTAATTTTGGAGTAAGTACGATGTGGTGCTGAGAAGAATGTATATTCTGTTGATTTGGGGTGGAGAGTTCTATAGATGTCTATTAGGTCTGCTTGCTGCAGAGATGAGTTCAATTCCTGGATATCCTTGTTAACTTTCTGTCTCATTGATCTGTCTAATGTTGACAGTGGAGTGTTGAAGTCTCCCATTATTATTGTATGGGAGTCTAAGTCTCTTTGTAAGTCTCTAAGGACTTGCTTTATGAATCTGGGTGCTCCTGTATTGGGTGCATATATATTTAGGATAGTTAGCTCTTCCTGTTGAATTGATCCCTTTACCATTATGTAATGGCCTTCTTTGTCTGTTTTGATCTTTGATGGTTTAAAGTCTGTTTTATCAGAGACTAGTATTGCAACCCCCGCTTTTTTGTGTTCTCCATTTGCTTGGTAAATCTTCCTCCATCCCTTTATTTTGAGCCTATGTATGTCTCTGCATGTGAGATGGGTCTCCTGAATACAGCAGACTGATGGATCTTGACTCTTTATCCAGTTTGCCAGTCTGTGTCTTTTAATTGGAGCATTTAGTCCATTTACATTTAAGGTTAAGATTGTTATGTGTGAACTTGATCCTGCCATTATGATAGTAACTGGTTATTTTGCTCGTTAGTTGATGCAGTTTCTTCCTAGCCTTGATGGTCTTTACATTTTGGCATGTTTTTGCAATGGCTGGTACCGGTTGTTCCTTTCCATGTTTAGTGCTTCCTTCAGGGTCTCTTGTAAGGCAGGCCTAGTGGTGATAAAATCTCTAAGCATTTGCTTATCTGTAAAGGATTTTATTTCTCCTTCACTTATGAAACTTAGTTTGGCTGGATATGAAATTCTGGGTTTAAAATTCTTTTCTTTAAGAATGTTGAATATTGGCCCCCACTCTCTTCTGGCTTGAAGAGTTTCTGCCGAGAGATCTGCTGTTAGTCTGATGGGCTTCCCTTTGTGGGTAACCGGACCTTTCTCTCTGGCTGCCCTTAAGATTTTTTCCTTCATTTCAACTTTGGTGAATCTGGCAATTATGTGTCTTGGAGTTGCTCTTCTCGAGGAGTATCTTTGTGGCGTTCTCTGTATTTCCTGGATTTGAATGTTGGCCTGCCCTACTAGGTTGGGGAAGTTGTCCTGGATGATATCCTGAAGAGTGTTTTCCAACTTGGTTCCATTTTCCCCCTCACTTTCAGGCACCCCAATCAGACGTAGATTTGGTCTTTTTACATAATCCCATACTTCTTGCAGGCTTTGTTCATTTCTTTTTCTTCTTTTTTCTTTTGGTTTCTCTTCTCACTTCATTTCATTCATTTGATCCTCCATCGCTGACATTCTTTCTTCCAGTTGATCGAGACGGTTACTGAAGCTTGTGCATTTGTCACGTATTTCTCGTGCCATGGTTTTCGTCTCTTTCATTTCGTTTGTGAGCTTCTCTGCATTAATTACTCTAGCCATCAATTCTTCCACTTTTTTTCAAGATTTTTAGTTTCTTTGCGCTGGGTACGTAATTCCTCCTTTAGCTCTGAGAAATTTGATCGACTGAAGCCTTCTTCTCTCATGTCGTCAAAGTCATTCTCCGTCCAGCTTTGATCCGTTGCTGGCGATGAGCTGCGCTCCTTTGCCGGGGGAGATGCGCTCTTATTTTTTGAATTTCCAGCTTTTCTGCCCTGCTTTTTCCCCATCTTTGTGGTTTTATCTGCCTCTGGTCTTTGATGATGGTGATGTACTGATGGGGTTTTGGTGTAGGTGTCCTTCCTGTTTGATAGCTTTCCTTCTAACAGTCAGGATCCTCAGCTGTAGGTTGTAGCTGTAGGAGACTGCTTGAGGTCCACTCCAGACCCTGTTTGCCTGGGTATCAGCAGCAGAGGCTCAGTTGAAAATGCAGAAATCACCGGTCTTCTGTGTCGCTCGCGCTGGGAGTTGGAGACTGGAGCTGTTCCTATTCGGCCATCTTGCTCCGCCCCCCCTATAATGGAATTCTATAAAGAACCTAATATAAACAAAACCAGAGCTAATTCTGCCCTTATGGATGGATCTAACAATACAATGCTGATCAAAGAATGTTACAGAAAATTACACACAATGTACAATTATTTACATATTAGAAGTTGAAAACAAATTCTACACATTATCTATGACCGTGCACATATGTTGTGTAATGTTTAAGCATGCATAGGAATAATAATTTTTAAGAAACTAGACAATTGTTTACCTCTAAACAATGAAAAAACACTAAAGCCAAATGCTTCAGAATCACAGTTTTACAAAAATATTCATGAGGAAACGATTACTTCTCCCATTTATTATTATTATTTATTTATTTATTTATTTTTATTTTTTTGAGACGGAGTCTCACTCTGTTGCCCAGGCTGGAGTGCAGTGGCGCGATCTTGGCTCATTGCAAGCTCTACCTCCCGGGTTCACGCCATTCTTCTGCCTCAGCCTACTGAGTAGCTGGGACTGACACCTCCCATTTTTTAAAAATTAAGGGTACCACACACAAACACACATACACATGCACATAGGCACAAACTTGCACACCACAAACACACACACACACACACACACACACACAGAATAAGCTCATCAGAATAACTGATTTCCTTAGGATGCTTCAAATGACTACATTCCCATGAGGTAACCAATGTTAAAACATAGTTGCCATGTCAAAAAGTGAAGTTTTCCCTGCAGTGAAGGGTAGAATTTGAATCAATTTTTGAACAGAAAAAATATTAGAGTTTAAAAATTCACCTTTTTGAATCTTTAAGTCATACGGACATTCCCAATACAAAACATTACAGTATCAGGACATAAAAGTAGAAACACCTGAAATTAAAGCTACCTTTTACAAAAACTAATTAAAATTCGTGTTCTTATAAGTAATCAGTTTTTCAAATGAGGATACCATTATTGACATTATTACCTCAAATATTTCCATAATATTTGAAAAATAAACATTGGGGAGATGAGACTATTAATATATCAACTATTGAAATATTCACTTTAATATACTTGAACTGTAAAATTTACCTGCTCTCAATGTTTGTTTATTCTTCCATTCTAAGCCTTTATTTGGGACAGAGTTTTGCATTTCAGTGGCAGGCTAAATGGGTTTGGAAGAAAAATTATTAATAACGAATGTATACTTCATAAAATATGTGTTTAATAAATGATTCAAGATAAAATTATAAAACTCAATACCTCAAAGTCAGAAGACTTTTCAGGAGACTCTATAAAAGCAAAAGAGATTTATTATCAGTCATAGGTAAATATGACAAAACCAACCACAAATGAATACAGTGACAGTATCTAACTAAGTCCTTGTGCTCAGCTTTGAGAATGATTCCTTTAGGTTTAGGGCTTTTTCTTTTGGTTTGTTTCTTTAGGACACTCACATGACAGAAATACACTGAAGAAACTAGGAATCTAGGCTTCAACAAACTTGCACTTAATATTTCAAAAGTGAGAATGTGCTGTGCATGCAAAATGTGTTGATATTAATACGAATATGCTGAGGGATGAAAAGAGAAATGACCTTTGATCAGAGGAGCAAATCATGACCCTGAAAAAATAAATGTCAAAGCTGAATATAGAATCCTACACCATATATTTAATGAAATACATTGGAATAATTTATATCATTACATTCATCATGTTCTTTAATTTGTCCTACAATTGAGACGGTACACCATTATGATGAGAGTTCAGCAGAATGCAGAACTGACATCTCATCACTGAACGTGTTACAAATTGATCAGCTTGGATATTTACTTAGGGGATAATACTAAATAAAATATTCATTGTTTTCCATATCCATGCAGTGTAATCATATGCCTCTAGTTTATCCTCAGAAATTTTCTTGCTTCTGTATCCTCTAGCTTATCCTCAGAAATTTTCTTGATTCACTCATGCAAAAAATATATACAAAACTCATTAAAAATATTGCTTTCAATGTTGATGTTTATTTGAAAATTTATGATAACATAGTTATTACATATAAATAACATTTTATATGTTTAAATCAGGAAAATATTTACTTAAAAAACAATTTTAGAATTCAAGTAATAAATTCAGTAATTTGTTTCTAAAAATTAGTCTGCTTTATTTATTATGGTAAGTGTGTAATGGATTTTTATAGAATAAAAATTTTACCAAAACAATTTGCTTCATTAAAAATAAAGCCAATGCTCTTAGATTCAAATATCTCTCATTTGAATAGCTAATATCAACAAAATATAAACATTTTATGCCTGATAGTAATAGAGAAAGCTAATGAGTCACCATGGTTTACTCCAATTCTAGTAATCCTCCCGCTTCCGGTAGTCTCTGGAGTACCCACAATCTAATCTGCTGGAGTGCAAATATTGTAAATGCATCTGAAGTGAATTCACTCAAATTTCCTTTTCAGAAACTCCAAAGTTGCCTGGCTATCTTCTTTCTTGCCCCATTTCATGCCTCGCAATCCCTCTTTCTTAGCCAAAATTTCTTAGTCCACATCTGTGGTCTTGATTATTCCCATTCAACATCTTTTAAAATCAATTTTCCCAACACTTTCTTTCTCTTTGATTAGGGTAGTATCTGCCATCTGAAATTACTATTTCTTTACCTCTTTTTTCCCCTATGGCCAGAAACATACTCAGAAATAAAAGCAATATAACGCTTTCCTTTGACCCTGTTATGTCTTGACCTTCTACCCAACTGCCGTTCCAGATTTTTCCAAAGGAAAGGCTGTTCCCTTGCTACTTAAGAGTGAGGTCCAAGGACCACCAGCAACAGCATCACTTGAAATGCCATTATCCAAATCACATTAAAAATGCCAGAATCCAAAGTCTGCTGAACTTATTAAAAATGCCAGAATCCAAAGTCCGCATGCATTGTTAACAAGGTATTCAGCTGATTTTCCAAAGTGTGAAAACTTCTGATCTATACTGAGTATATATGACAAATTATATACACGCATGGCTGTGCAAATATACTTATATTCACATATTGCTGATAAAACACAACTCTCCATGGTCAGGTGTTTCCATCCCTAATGCCTTCCCTCCAGTAAGAAAGACAAGAGTGACAACATGTTTGCTGTAATTCTCTGGTAGATTTTGGTAATGGAAGGTCACTTTATATTCTTCCCAGCTTTCTAACCATGCTCTATCTTTCTTTCAAGAATTATTTTATTTTACCATTCTCCATTATGTAAACCTGCTTCTTGTTCCCTCATGTACTACCTGTACTCTCTGTCTTCCTCAGTCTTCATTCCCTCTTTTACTCCTTTCATCAGGTCTTAGAGTATACTGAATTTAAACTAATGATTCAGCTATTTTGTTGATACTCTCAGTATAATCTGTTGCCAACACCTGAGATGACATATAACTTTCACTCCTTTTGTTCTTCCATGCTACGCATTTAAAAAATAATTTTCTTTGGTTGTCAGAGCATACCAGTCCTCATGCTTTGAGACAAACATTTGGTCAAAAGATGTTTTAAATAAAAAATGGTTCTTACCTTCTATTTTGCCTTTTATTGTCTTTATTTCTTTTTGATATGTAGCCTCAGGTAAACACACACAATTCTGTGTATCATTCACAGAGATAATCTGTTAAAGATAATATTAAAAAATAATTTCGTTTTTTACTATTTTTTTATTTTATTTTTCTGAGACGAAGCCTCGCAGGGTTGCCCAGTGGCATGATCTCGGCTCACTGCAAACTCTGGTTCCCAAGACCAAGTGGTTCTCCTGCCTCAGCGTCCCGCGTAGCTGGGACTACAGGCATGAGCCACCACACCTGGCTAAATTTTTGTATTTGTAATAGAGACAGGGTTTCACCATGTTGGTTAGGCTGGTCTCAGACTCCTGACTTCAAGTGATCCGCCTACCTCGCCCTTCCAAAATACTGGGATTACAGGCAAAAGACATCATGGCCTGCCTCAATAAATAATTTCAATTTAAAAATAATAATGACAAGCATCATATTTTTTATTAAAAATCTTTTTTAAAACACATTTTTTAACTTTAAAAGCAATTAGATTTAAGGCTGTTCACATACTGAAAACCAAAACATTTCAAGAGAAAACCTCAAATATTCTCTGTAGATCACGCTTATCTTTTATTTTCATGTGGCTATTGACTAGGTTACTGAGCAAGGAAAATAAATCATATTCACAAAAAAATTCATTCGTGTGCATATTTTAAAAGGAATTTACTTCAAAGTATCTGCCTTACACTGTAATCCTCACCAAAAATAATAGAACATTTCAAACAAAATACAACACGATTAAACATGTGACATATGCATAATTACAGATTTTTTGGTTAAAAAATATGCATGGCATGAAGAGAATTTTCAGAGTGTGTTATGTGAAATAGGAATAGAACTCTGTAAAAGCTGTTTCATTGAAGAAAACAAGGGCTTAAAATAATAAGAATAAATTTTAAACATTTTTGCTGATAAAGAACTGCTTGAATAAAAGGAAAGATTCATAAGGAAAACTTGTATTTATGTTACTTTTAAATGAAAGCAAACAATCATTAGATAAAGTATGCAATTCATTCTTAAGACATAACTTCAGAAAAGTAGAGCAAGCCTTCATCAAAAGAGAAAAATAAAACATGTATTCGTGAAACATATAACATGTGCCAGGCACGTATTTGCAGACTTTTCTTCACCTTAGAATAATGAGGATGATGATGATGTTGGTGGTTACCCCACTTTCTGCTTCCTAGTCATTCTAGGTTGTTAAGAACAAAATGACGAACAAATACGGTCCACTGTTCTCTCTGTTCAGAATGTCTTCCTCCTAGACTTTCATATAGCATACTCCTCATCTTTGAGATGGGAGATTAAATGGCAGTCGCAGAAAGATCTACTCTGACCATAGAATTCCACTGCCACTCCCATACCCGTGCTAATTATAAAGTTCTTCAATTTTCTCTAACCAAACATTCTCTGTTTTGTTTTTAAAGAAAAAGTTACAGTGACTTATAAGTGTTTTTTATTTGTTATTCTCTTCCTACTACTAGAGCATAATCCCACATCGTGGATATTCAGAGACTCACTGCCTAGCACAGAGTTGATACTCACAAAGAAATTACTCCAGGTCAACACATTGAAAATCTCATCAGGGAAGTCTAACTTTCCAAACTGCTATATTTCTATGGAAAATCTGCAGTAGTAGCCTGCTGAAAGTTACCAATCCCTTACCCAAAATTAGAAATCCACATGCCTGTTCTTACTCCCCATTCTTGTGCTAACAATACTGCTTACGATAAATGTCACTTTGATCATTTTGTCTTACATTTGTATACAGACTTTTCAGTTTACAAAATGTTTGCGCATTTGTTACAACATTATTTCATGACATGTACCTAAGAGGTAGACATGAGCACTGTTTTTATAAACAAAATTACTGGTATTTGATTAAGTTAATCGATTTTTTTCCAAGTTCCCATAGCTAATAAGTGACAGAACCAAAATATAGACTTATCTTTGACATCCACTCACTGCTGTTACCACTATGCAGCTGCTGCTTCCACCTAACTGGTGAAGCCTTTCCTATCTCTTCCACATCCACAGTTGTGGTCTTGGAATACATCATTATTATTTGATATCTATGTGGCTGCAAACATCACTGCCACAAAGGGACCCGAAGAGTTCTATTTGTGAAAAGAATGTCTACTTATTAAAATACTACTCAAACACATTGTTGTTATTATAGTTTTACAGGCGTCCTATTTATCATGTTTATCCAACTTCTGAAATGTTCCTTCAGATCTATACTGGATAATCAAAATATATCAATACTTTCAAGTCCCAGGCATTATCTTTTCAAGTTTCAAGTTGAGCAAGACTAAGACTATAGTTTAAACTCTTTCTCCCTGAATCCAATTAGAGCTTTTGTACATCTAGATATACACAGAATCATATATTTGCCCACAAATGAATGCAGAGGAATTATTTAGTTTATAGACAAACTTAACTTCAGAACTCAAAGAGATTCCTAGTGCCTTCTAAGCCTTATTTTCTTTCACACTATTCTACACGGGCTTCAAAATCAATCCTGCAAATTAGTAGAATTGCACTATGCAGCTGTTATCTACTTGGCACATGATTATAAAGCATGTTCTGATAAATGTCTGAAAATAATTTCTTTTTTTCTTTGTTTGTTTTTTAGATGGAGTCTCGCTCTGTCACCCAGGCGGGAGTGCAGTGGTGTGATCTGGGCTCACTGCAAGCTCCAACTCCTGGGTTCACACCATTCTCCTGCCTCAGTCTCCTGAGTAGCTGGGACTACAGGTGCCCACCACCATGCCAGGCTAATTTTTTTGTATTTTTAGTAGAGACGGGGTTTCACCGTGTTAGCCAGGATGGTCTTGATTTTCTGACCTCGTGATCTGCCCGCCTTATGGACACAATCAGAGGTGACAGAATAAAGTCAAATCATCTGTTTATACTTTAGTTAAGTTTTAAAATAACAACAATAACAACAACACACAGTACCTCAGGAACTGAAGTTGATTTTGTATCTTCTTTTTGTCCTAATTCAGATATGGGCATCTTATCTACAAAATGTTGTTCACAGCATGAGAAAATGAATTCACATATATGAGAACATTTTTTACTGTAAATCATAATACTATATGCAAATCTATTTTCATTTATGAGTATTTCAAAAATAAAAGTAATAGCAAAAATAGAGTTTCAGAATTGAAGCAGGTTCAGAAAAAAGAATTGATAATATGAAGAAAGATAGCAAAAAGTATTTTTTTAAGTAGACATTGCATTTCAGTCTATAAAATTGTTTTCTAAATAATAGCATTTAAGCATAGAAAAATTTTCAGAGATATTCATTAAATTACCACTTCTACTATTTTGGTATAAAAAATAAAATTGTCATTACTTGTTTGATCTTGTGGAGCTCGTTCAATAATGCCAATATCATGTTTTTGTTGTCCAGTTACTGTCTTTGTTGCTCCCTCCTATTACAAACAAAAAACAGAAAGCAACAACAACAACAATAAAAACTTCAGAAAAAATTGTGTTTATTAACTCAGTCACTCACTCAATTTGTCAGTAAGACAAACAACAACAACAAAAACACACATTGTATCTATCAAATCATAGGCACTATTCTGGGAGAAGCAGAAAATATCCATGGAAGATAGATTCTGGCCTATATTCAAGAAATGGTAGAGATATGTGAAAACAAATAAGAACAGAAAAGTATAATTCACCAGTTCTACAATTTAAGTCATTAAAATACACAAGGGCAAAAAGGAGAGAAAAATCAGTTTTACCTGAAAAGCATAGAAAATGCTGCCATAATGGGGCCATATTTGGAAGGACAGACAAAGTGCAGAGTCAGGATACAAAGACTCTTGGTGCAATAGCATGTGCAAAATAATAAGGCATGAAACAACACGGCAACTGAGGGATGCCAAAGTTATGTGATAAAACTGGAACACAGTCAGAGGAAATGAATTGAAGAGATAAAATGGGGCCAAACCATATACGATATGTGTCACACTAGAATGTGAAATTACCCCTTCCTGTAACGGGTATCCACTCAATATGTAGATAAGTTACATCATTACAAATATATTTTAGAAAGGTGACCCTTCCAGCGGTGTAAAGATGAACATGGGGAGATGGGGCAAAAGTAGAAAGGAGTACTTCAAAATTATAGGTAGAGAGTTAATTATGGTAATAAGATATGGAAAATTATAAGAAAGTAGATAATGCAAAATTTGGTGTGTGACTGGATTGGTGACCTGGAGGAGGGTTGAAGTGCAGGATGTGGGTGACAGTGGAAGTGCCAGTTGAAGTGTTGGGGCATTTCATGGCTACTTCTTTAGTGTTATTTACTAGGATGGGGAAACCAGATGACAGAGTAGATTACAACGGGTCAGAAAAGTCAGGAAAAAAATAAAAATGATGTTTTCAATTTGAAACCTATAAGATTTTAGGCATCCAAGGGGCTTGGAAGAAGTATCTGGATAAATACATTTGGAGTATGAGTAGATTACCTACATGAGGAAAATTACATAGTGATGAGAAAATAAATATTTGTAAGATGGACTAAATGGGTAGAATTAACACAGATCTATGCAGACTGCTGAAATTTTGAAAATGAAATCAAAGGGAGAGAGAAAAACATGGGTTTAAATCTCTCAGTTATATATTTTCAAATTTATTTCAAGAATATAATTTTATATATATAGGTAAATATTTCTGAAACATTATTGCAATATGCATCTTTGAATTGAATGAAAACATTTAATTTTAAAACAAGATTCTACAAAACGACCTTTATAAAAACCTTGCAATTTTTTTTTGTTCTTTTTTTTATTTTTTATTTTTTATTTTTATTTATTTATTTATTATTATTACTATACTTTAAGTTCTAGGGTACATGTGCATAACGTGCAGGTTTGTTACATATGTATACTTGTGCCATGTTGCTGTGCTGCACCCATCAACTCATCAGCACCCATCAACTCGTCATTTACATCAGGTATAACTCCCAATGCCATCCCTCCCCCCTCCCCCCTCCCCATGATAGGCCCCGGTGTGTGATATTCCCCTTCCTGAGTCCAAGTGATCTCATTGTTCAGTTCCCACCTATGAGTGAGAACATGCGCTGTTTGGTTTTCTGTTCTTGTGATAGTTTGCTAAGAATGATGGTTTCCAGCTGCATCCATGTCCCTACAAAGGATACAAACTCATCCTTTTTTATGGCTGCATAGTATTCCATGGTGTATATGTACCACATTTTCTTAATCCAGTCTGTCACTGATGGACATTTGGGTTGATTCCAAGTCTTTGCTATTGTGAATAATGCCACAAAAAACATACGTGTGCATGTGTCTTTACAGCAGCATGATTTATAATCCTTTGGGTATGTACCCAGTAATGGGATGGCTGGGTCATATGGTACATCTAGTTCTATATCCTTGAGGAATCGCCATACTGTTTTCCATAATGTTTGAACTAGTTTATAATCCCACCAACAGTGTAAAAGTGTTCCTATTTCTCCACGTCCTCTCCAGCACCTGTTGTTTCCTGACTTTTTAATGATCGCCATTCTAACTGGTGTGAGATGGTATCTCATTGTGGTTTTGATTAGCATTTCTCTGATGGCCAGTGATGATGAGCATTTTTTTCATGTGTCTGTTGGCTGTATGAATGTCTTCTTTTGAGAAATAATATTCATATCCTTTGCTTACTTGTCTATTCATATCCTTTGCCCACTTTTTGATGGGGTTGTTTGTTTTATTCTTGTAAATTTGTTTGTGTTCTTTGTAGGTTCTGGATATTAGCCCTTTGTCAGATGAGTAGATTGCAAAAATGTTCTCCCATTCTGTAGGTTGCCTGTTCACTCTGATGGGAGTTTCTTTTGCTGTGCAGAAGCTCTTTAGTTTAATGAGATCCCATTTGTCAATTTTGGCTTTTGCTGCCATTGCTTTTGGTGTTTTAGACATGAAGTCTTTGCCCATGCCTATGTCCTGAATGGTATTACCTAGGTTTTCTTCTAGAGTTTTTATGGTATTAGGTCTAACATTTAAATCTCTAATCCATCTTGAATTAATTTTCGTATAAGGAGTAAGGAAAGGATCCAGTTTCAGCTTTCTACTTATGGCTAGCCAATTTTCCCAGCACCATTTATTAAATAGGGAATCATTTCCCCATTTCTTGTTTCTCTCAGGTTTGTCAAAGATCAGATGGCTGTAGATGTGTGGTATTATTTCTAATTGTACAAGAGAAATACTTACCCATAGAATTATGAGGCATTTTTAAGTACTACTATAAAGTGAGATAGAAATGTGAAACCCTGGTTTAAAATCACATGCTTTTCTTATGTTCCTGTAAACAATATAATACTCGGTCAAATTGCCTATTGACACCATATAAGATGGTAGTTTAAAACTGAAAGAAATATCTTATATAAAGAACATTAAGCAATAATTATTCAAGTTGAAGATTTCATAGTTTTTACATGTATCTATGATTGTCAAGCAGGATTCAGTATTCACAGGAGAAGTGAAGAAAGAAACTAAAAAAATTCAAGTCGACAGGATTCCTGAGTTTTAGAAACAAACAAATATATGTGCAAGGTGTAATAGTTATGAAGACTAAAGTTAATAAAGCTTCCTGGAAAGAATATAAAATATCCCCATTGCAAGAGACATTTTTAAGAGTAAAAAGTATTCTTCCAATGATAAGTTTGTTTACTATGTTAACAATCTTCCCTTACATATCATTTTATAATATGTACTTTACTTTAAAAAAATTCACAAATATTGATTACATTCAGTTGATGTGTGCATATAATACCATTACATACAGGTATTATGAGCAAAAGATGTCAGAATATTCCTAGAGATTAATAATTTCTACATTTATTTCGTTGAGAGTTTTGTAGCTTAAAAGTGATTTTTCTCTTTTAAGATATACAGATTAAGAACCTTGTTCATATGATCAGAAAATTTAATTTTAATAACAAGCTTAAATAAAATGCTTATTTATTTATACTCTATTATCAAAAATATTCAAAACAGCTACCAAGGTTATATCAAAGAGTAAGATAAATTAGTTAAATAATCTAAGAATACGTCAAATATTAAGTTAGAAATCTTAAAACAAGAAGCTAAAGAATCAAAAAGTAATAATTCACAATAAAGCTAACAAGGCCTAAAACAGATTTCACTTTGCATTCTGCATTATTGTAAGTATGACTAGATTAAATATAAAACATAGTTACTAAAAGAAGTAAAAATTAAATTTTTGTTCCTTGTTTATAATTTTTTTGTTGACACACTATAAATGTACTTGTTTTGTGGGTGTATGTTATCATTTAATACATTCGCATAATCAAATCAGAATAATTGAGATATTAATCACCTTAAGTATTTATTTTTCTTTTATGTTAGAAACATTCAAATTATTCCCTGCTAGGTATTTCAAAGTGTACAACAAATTGCTCTTACCTATACTCGTCCTTATATTTTCTGTCGGCTTTTTGTTAAAATCTGCTATAAGTCACTCAAGGACACCTGAGCTATATTTTATTAGCTGGCAATGTTTTCTTAATTTTTATTTTAAATAATTTGTATCCTATCTTTTATTCTAGAGAGTTCCTGCTCTCATTTAATCCACAATTTTTGCTGTGTTTTTATAAGAATCTGTCTCATCCTTTCTCATGTAATCTCTACGTTTATCTTACCCTTCTTCAACCAATTAATTCCTATCATCCCCTTCATCTAATTTATTATTATACAAACATGGTGGTATCCATTAGATTATTTTTTAACCAAAATAATCTAGGACAAAAACGTACTCTTACACAGTTTGTAGTATTATAGAAATAATTAAAATTTAAAAATTACACATTATATTTTGAAATATCTCTTCACAATATACAGTTGTATTAATTACCTCTTGTGTGGAAAAATGTGAGAGTTTAGTTTTTAATAGTACCTTATTTAACTGAGTTTGCATTGAAATGGTATAGGTTGTTCCTATTCCGTGTGGCAAAATGCTAAGTATAAATAATTGTATAAATTCTGATTCTTCCACGAAACAGAGAAAAAAAGAATAAATCATGGAGGGGGGGCCGTGATTGATTAATGAAAATCATACATAGCAACTAAATGGAAACTTGTAAATAAATATGCTAACAATTGAGACAGAGATGCCCTCAAAAGCAGACACTGAAGAAATGTATTCTGTGAGAAAAATGTCTGCGGTAAATCATTTTTAAAAAGGTGACGGAGGAGGGAGAAACAAACAAGAGACATGATCAGTCAATCAAGTATGAGCTTCAGTCATGAAAGAAAAGGAAAAACAGCTACTATATACATGTGATGAAATACACAAAATACATGCTTTTGTTAATAATATTACTGATCGGTATTTACACTACAATTAGTTATTTTGTTAATATCTGTGTAAGAAAGATTTTAATTTTAATTTTAATATTATATAATAAGACAATTAAACATGATCTTCAGCCAATACTTAAAAGCGAGAATATTCTTACTACAGAGAGAGAAAAAATTTAAAAAGAATATTTCATAAACTTTTCACCTGAAGAAAGTATTGGTAATCAGAATTTTAGAATAATGTACTCCTTGAAAAGATATTCTTAATAGAACATGAGTTTCGGCTGGGAGCGGTGGTTCACGCCTGTAATCCCAGGACTTTGGGAGGCTGAGGAGATTGGATCATGAGGTCAAGAGATCGAGACCATCACCCTGTCTCTACTAAAAATACAAAAATTAGCTAGGCATGGTGCCATGTGCCTGCTGTCCCAGCTACACGGGAGGCTGAGGTAGGAGAACTGCTTGAACCAAGAAGGTGAAGGTTGCAGTAAGTCGAGATCGCGCCACTGCACTCCAGCCTGCATGACAGAGCAAGACTCCATCTCAAACAAACAAACAAACAAACAAAACCATGAGTTGGGACTAAAATATATTAAAACTTTTTAAATCTAAACTCCATTGGAAGATACTAGAAAACATAGTGTAAACTTCTTTCCTATTTACTGCATATCTCTGATTTATTGTTCTTCTTATTTAGGACATATTTTCTCAAGATAATGCAAGTGAATTTATGCATTCTAAATACTAAAATGTAAATTTAAGTCATATTTTAGAAATGCATTAGATCTAATTATAAGATATATTATGCATATTATCTTACTTATAATATTCCATTACATAAAAATTCATTTGTCTGCTTATTTATTCACAATGAAAACCTCTTAAAATGCTTTTTACAGGCAAGACTGTATTCTGGGTACACTAGGATGCACACAAGTGTTTTCTAACCTGCAGTATCTCATAGTGATGCAAGAGCTTCAAAATGATTATTTAAATACCTAAATACAAAATCTTCTGAAATTTAAAATTTTCAAATGGGATCAAAGATCTTTGAACAATATATTTAAAAACTGCAGTTTAAATACTCTGAAATTAAAATCTTACCATATGCTTATTAAGAGTCTCTGCTTCCAGAATTGGTCATTTACTTGGGGTAAAACCTGCATTCTTCATTTAGTTGAAGAATTTAAAGTATACTTTTAATGAAATAACTTAGGAAACACACTGGCATGCCTTAATAATACAGATTCTGAGAAAGAGAATTTACATTTCTAAATTTCTACCATTATTTTTTAAATTAGAGATAAGGTCTCGCTATGTTGCCCACACTGGTCTCAAACTCTTGGGCTCAAGGAATCCTCCTGCATCAGCCTCCTTGGTAGCTGGAACCACAGGCATGCACCACTATGCCCAAATAAATTTTCACAATTTCTAATATTATTTTGGTCTTACTAAAGAACCAGCAAGAGAAACTGAGAAAAAGCTCTCTCCTAAAAACTACATGAAATCAAACTAATATCTGCCAAAAAAAAAAACCTCTATGCTATGTGGCACAGCTTCGGAACTGAACTTTATCAGAGAGATTCTTTGATTATTATAGTAAGTAACTGGATCCATTAAAGATAAATTTAAGCATGAGGGTTTTTTTTTTTAAGTTACAATAGAATAATTTTAAAAGTCACAGTGAGTTTACTTATGCAAATAAATCTTTACCAGATTTTATATATTCTCTATTGTGGAAAAGTTTTTTCTAACATAACGTTCCTGTCACTGTGCATTTTCCAGTCCATTCCATTTTTTGGCCCTCACACCCTGAAAGTGTTTACCAATCATTTTTTATTTACTGAAGTAAAAAAAAACAAAAAAACAAACAAAAAAAAACTGTTTAAATCAACTACTCATATTTCTATAAAATGTTTTCATCTGACCAACTTTATATTACCAACATGAAATAATGATACACCACTGTTAAACATGAAAGGTAAATACTATACAGAACTAGATTCCAACTGAGAAAATCAACTTCACAAGAGACTATTTTACCTTGGTAGCAAGATTAAAGTCTTCCTCAACTTTTGGAGACTGTGAATTTTCAGTAGTCAGTTTGCCAAAAAGACTAGAGAAAAAAGATACAATAAAAATGAGCAAACTCATATATTAGAAAGAAAATCTGCTAGTTCATATCTTAGTGCTCACTCCAAAAAATGAGAACAAAAAACAAAATCTGGGGAAAGATCAGTCCTCGATATATTAAATCATGTTTCTCGGTATAATTAAAATATGCCCTCTGTTTTTAAACAAGATTTTATTTACCTATTTTTGACTCTACCTCCCTAACCTATAACATTCAATGAACACTCACTCTTAGTTTTACAAAAAGTAGTGACTGCCAATATAATTGGCATACCCTGAGTCTAATTCATCCTCACGAACTGTCCTCTATGATGAACTGAAAATATACTTAATGACTGACTTAACTTTTGATATCTAAACTGGAACAAACTTGATAACCCAAAATGAGGAAGAAAGATACAGTTACCTTGTCCCTTATCCATTGTCTATCTCTGATTCAAAGACTAATCTGTGTCACTGGAAAATGACATTCTTTGTTTTTAAGCATAAAAACCACTTTAAAAGGCCCGACAGAGACTTTTAAAGAAAGGCTCAAAAAAAAAAAAAAAAAAAAGGAAAAAGAAAAAAAGGCCCTGTAGCTTCCCTTCACCCTAAAACACTACAAGAGAGTCCCCTGAAATATTTGAAATGTTGAAAAGTTGAACCTACAAATGTCAAATTACAAATGTGTATTTGTTATTGGGAATATTTTTCTCACAAAAATTGAAACATTAAAAATAATAAAATCGAACTACTTATTTTATACTTGTCCTTCCTTGTTCAGGTCTACATAAACTAGCAAAGCCTTAAAAATCTTCGTAGGTACTTATACCCAAGGAGAGAGTCTGCTAGAAAAACTGAGTCCTGATAATTGGATTTCTCTAAGTACTATATGTACACAGAGAGAAAGATCTGGAAGTGGAAGTCACTATATACAGTGAAAATTTCTCCCACTTCCAGATCTTTCTTCTGCAGGACTTCATGGCAGTCTCCAACCTTTAAATATTCTGCTCATCAAGGCACAGATTACTGAAAAGATAAACTCAATGACCAGCCAAGAAGCTCTGTATTTACCTGTTCCTGAAAAACAACTAAATGGAGTCTCAGTCAGTCATTCACCTCCAGTGTAAGCATGTTACCAAAAACCCAGCTGAAGCTCCATGACTTATTTGACAGCCAATCTTACCCCTGCTTTACATGTACATGAGTAGCACATCAGAGGCCTGGAAAAAGAGGCAAAGGGGAGGGGACACCTGCCTTGAGCCACAGATCTATGTAATTCAGCAACCTTCAATCCCCTAGCACTCGAGGGGCTTTAAGCCACTCCTGTGAAATTTGGGGTGAAAGAACAGAAAAGGACATTTCTATCTGATTGTGGAGACTTTTCCCAATGGCTTTTTTTTTTTTTTTTTTTAAATCTTTCAGTAAAAAGCTTGAAGTTTGTCCATTCCTCCAATTAAACAAGCAAAAAAGCAGCAACCTATTCAGGACTTCTTTTGAACCCTATTTTAGTATGCCTTTCTACATAACTCCCAATGTCATCTGTGTTTTTGTTCCTCTAATTTGTCTTCACCAAGCTTGTCATAAGATCCAATATTCCGATCTCTTTGGTAAAACCCTTACTCCTACCAATCCTGGGATTGTTTCACTTCAAATTTGGCCTTTCCCTGATAATTCCATTCTTATCTACTTCTACTGGGTTCTCCAGCTAATTCCATTCTTATCATTTTCCATTTGTTTAATTAGATCCATTCCCTTTCCTGTCTATTATTCAAACACTCACGTACATGATGATATAAAAACAAGAGTAATGGGCTTTGAAATGAGTTTAAATATTATTTCTGATACCTTGTATATTTAAATAAGTCACTTTGAGTTTCAGATTCTCCATCTGAACAACCATTTTTCCAGGATATTAAATACAGGTTTACATTGAAAGTATTTTGATTAGTCTCCAAGAGTCTTTAAAATCCTAAAATTCCATGTGCTTTAATTTTAGCTATAGAAAAATGGGACTGGCAGAAAGGAAAAAAATTACAGAAGAAAAGAACACTAAGGAAATGAGAGAAGAAAGTAATCAGGAAAAGATTATAAATAAGTCATGGAAGAAGAGAAAAGACTCTAGAAAAAAAATGAAGAGTGCATGCAACTAGGCAGGGTACTGCTTTGAAGAAAAACTAAACTAAGAAATCAGTAAATAGAGAATTCTATAAGATATAGCCTCTAAATATTATTAACATAAAATATCTATATATAGATATTCTCCACTAAAAGTAAAATAATTCATCTATAGGATTTACCTGGTCTTCCTTATGAAATAAAAACCTATGCCTTGTGGTCACAGCTAAGTAAGATCTGCTCTAAAAACTTTGATGATAAAAACAAGGAACTGGTTACCACTTTAACTGTTAAACATGTTATAACAAAGTCTTGGATTAACCAGCATTCTAAGGGAAATCTCTAAAAAGAGTTAACATATAACAAAATGTAACCTTTTGAATTGATCCCATCTAGACCTGTGCCTTGATCCTAGTGATGCACAGGTATCCATCAATCTATGCTGAGGGGGAAGAGAAGGGATTTGGGAGCAAGGAAAGCAGATGGCAAACTCAAGGGTCAGCTACCTTTTAGCTATGAAATCGTAGGTCAATTAATCAACCTCTCTGAACCACATTTGCCTGATTAATACAAAGTAGGTGATAGTAGCACAGATGCTTTGCAAAGCTGTGTGATGACTATGTGAGATGGTAAATATTAAGCACATAATATGTTGTCTAACCCAGAGTAGAATACTCAGTAGATAGTGATTTATTTTCTCTATATTCTCTCAGTTAACATATGTATTTAAAAAAACCGCAAAGTCTTACCTGGATATAGGCTCTACAGAACTCACATCCACTATTAAAGAAAAAAAAAAAAGTAAAATATATTAAATCAACAAATATAAATAAAAATACAGAATATTAAAAACATAAGAGGGCATGATGGCACATGCCTGTAATCCCAGCTACTTGGGAAGGTGAGGCAGGAGGATCATCTGAGGAGCCCAGGAGTCTGAAAGCAGCCTGGGAGACATCGCGAGACTTCAACTTAATTTAAAAGAATAATGTACACTTTCGTGCATGATTCAGGTCTTGGTTTAAAAAGCATAATACTCTGATGCTTTGTTACAAAGACTCAGATGATTTGTTATAAAGCATTCCTTTGGGACCATACATTGAGACTACAGTAAAATTATTATGAAGTATACTATTGGTAGAAAATTAATGCATTAAAAATGTTTATTTCCCTTCCTTTATAGTTCTCAAATGCAAGGAAAAATAGAATTTATCACAATTTGATCTCTGCAAGTGAACTACAGTGTACAATAGTTGTAATCCAAACAGAACCCTGTAAGACTGACAGAAAACTGTATTATTAGCAGAATTAGTATAAGTGGATAGTGTCAACCTTAGAAAGTATAATTCCTAGACAAATGAACTAGAAGCAGTTTGAACAGAGTATACAGTAGTCTCTCCTATTTGCTCTAAGTGTAGAAAGAAACACACACAACATGATTTCCCTCTGCTCTCACACCACAATCATTAAAACAGAAGACATCTGTGACCAAATGTGTGGAGGATTTTCTCCACTGACAAATAAACCATTAATTCTGTAGCAAAAGACAGCTGGTTGTCCTCTATTTAATTCCAACACTGTCTATCTAGAAATAGTCTCAGATCTCACAGACTGAGGGCTCAGTCTCATGAGACTGCCCTCACACACCAGTTGCAAATCTGGGTCTCTTTGATTTCTGTGATTTCAGTTACTCATGGTCAACCATAGTCCAAAAATATTAAATGGGGAATTCCAGAAATATACAAATCATAAGTCCTAAATAACATGTCATTCTAAGGAGTATGATGAAATATTAAGACATCCTGTTCCATCTCACCAGGTCATGAATCATTTCTTGTATATGCTATCTGCCCATTAGTCATCAAAATGATCTGTTCCTGAATCCCAACCAGCAACATTATCATGGCTCAATGATCCACCATCACATGAAGCAGATGATCCACTTATTTCTATGTAGTCAGATAGCCAGAAATTAATAGTAGCCTAACACCACATAACTCCTTCACCTGACTTCATCTCATCACATAGGCATTATAACATCTCACAGTCATCACATGAAAAAGAAGGGTGAGTACAAGACACTTTGAGAGACCATATTCACCTAACTTTGATTACAATATATTGTTATTGTTTTATTTTATTATGAGTTATTGTTAATCTCTCACTGTGCCTAATTTATGAATTAAACTTTATCATAAATATGCATGTATAGAAAAAAAAAGCACGGATGTATAGGGTTCCATACTATCCACAGTTGCAGACATTCAATGGGTGTCTTAGAAAATACCATGGATATTGAGTAATCCATGGACACCGAAGATCATCTTACCATACTTGTGTGTGTGTGTGTGTGTGTGTGTGTGTGTGTGTGTGTGAGAGAGAGAGAGAGAGAGAGAGAGAGAGAGAGAGAAACAATACAGATCTCCACTCTCCACAAGAAGCAGATAAAAAAGACAACACTTTTCCTCACACATGACCCTTAGGTTTTGACAATTCTGGAAAAACGCTGGCACGCGTGCTCCCCAGTCTAGACAGTTTCCCAGACCCTGTGTATGTATCCTGCTTTAGTTGCAAAAACTTAGGTAGGATCTTGGGAGATTTCTTCTTGGACACCAGAAATATTAACAACATTAACAGTATACCTAACAACTCTAAAATAATTATTTCGAACAGACTGCCACTGCAGAACTTGTAAGTTAAATCCAATTGACTTTTCAGTTATAATCTTACTGCTTGAAATTCTCACACTTAAAAGAAATTAGCAACATCATTTTCTCTGACTCCTCTCCTACTTTTCATTAGCCACTGCTCAGTCTCCATTACCAAGTCCTGTGACTCTGTGAAATGTTGATACTCTCAGGATTTTGTCAATGGCTTTCTTCTTATTCTACATCTTCTGCATCATGGATAAGCTCGTTGAGATCTGTGGCTTTGCCTAATAATTATAATGAAATTATTCCAAGCCTACATCTTCAACCAGAGTTCTATCTCCAGCTAGAAATACTTGTAATCCAATTACCTACTGAAAATATCCCACAGGAGGGTTTCATTGAACTCTATATGTAAAGAAAACTGTTGGTCTGTCCCATGACTCTTTGCACTTTTCTGTTGACCTGACAATTTCCTACTCCTTCCCCATGAGCATTCCCCATGTGGAAACTTTTGAATGACCTGAGATTTTTTCTCTCCCCTAGCTTTTTAAACTCAATAAGCACTAAATCATATTAACTGTACCTCTTTTCTGCTTTGCTTTATCTCTTCATTGACACCGGAAATACAAACTTATTTATTTTATATTTATATTTCCTAGTTAGACATGGCCCCTTAACTGATGGCTTTCACAGGGAAAAAGAAACCCTACCTATAGGGGATCAGACAAAGTGGTTAGAAAAATTATAAAGATAGTTTTAGGAAATAGACACAAACCTTCTGGGAAAGCCAGTGACCAGTAAATGATTTGGCTGAAAGTAGCCTAATCCTCTTTACTTTCAGTTGGTAGCAATAGAGGAAATATCTAGGGAATGTGGAGGAGTTTATCTAAATACCTTGTTTACTCATGTGGTCCTAAGACAAAACTTTGATCATTCGAGGGTACATGATTGCTTTGTACCGGGGGTTGGCAATGTTAATTACCTTCTAGTGATGTTTACTCAAGATGTTTGTCATTTATTCTGCACCAAATAAAAGCACAACAGAAACAGTATATAAAAGTGTTGAAAAAGTTGCTTAAAGCTAGTGGAGCCTCGGTATCACAGGCTCAATTAAGGGACATAATGCAAACAGCTGTATTCCACAACCCATGGTTATGAAATTCCAAATTCACCTTACCAAACGGATTTCAGATGAAGTTTTATTGGAGTAAAATCATGCCTATTTCTTCACACGTTATCTATGACTACTTTAATGCTACAATGGCAGAGTTGAAAAGCTGTGATAGAGACCACATCACCTAACATATTTCCTGTTTGGTTCTTTACAAGAAAAGTTTGCCAATTGCTGGTTTATACCATGACCAGAATGCTCTGACACTTTAATCTTGGGACTCCCCTGCTCAAACAATTCTAATGAATCCCTGCAGAAAACATTGCTGGCTTCCAATGCATAGAAATTATTTTTTCTTTCTTACGGCAGAAACACAAGTTTATTTACATATTTATTATTCCATTACTCCTATCTCATCTACAAAATGAGAAATCATTATTCTAAGCTAATCACAGTAATAACATTTGCTTTTCTAGTGACTGGTTTACAAATGAGTATTTGTACTCGGAGGAAGATGTAGGAGAATCACTTGAGTCCAGGAGGCAGAGGTGGTAGTGAGGTAAGATCACACCATTGCACTCCAGCCTGGGTGAAAAAGTGAAACTCCATTCCCAAAACATAAATATTTAAAATGCATTCCTATATTTTAAATATTTTCATTTTAATTTCTAACATTAGTTGAAGCAGTAAATACTCCGACTTCAATAAAAGCTCTCTGATATAAGCTGTCATTTGATGTTGACTTTTAGTGGCTATGAAAGACAGACTAATTAAATGTGCTTTAGAGTTAAATTCACAAAATATGGAGTCTTAAATCAAAGCAGAGCTAACTGTATTGAGTAGATCTAAAATATAAGAAAAGTAAAAAGAAAGGAAGTTCCAATAAAATATGTACAGGGTACAACTATTTATTGAAAATTTAAGACATGAAAACAAATTCTACACATAGTCTATAACCACACACATAGGTTGTGAATTTCTGGGGGGTTTTTTTGTTTTTTGTTTTTTGTTTTTTTGGTTTGTTTGTTGCTTTTTGACATGCAGTCTCACTCTGTTAGCAAGGCTGGAGTGGCACGATCTCCGCGCACTGCAAATTCTGCTTCCTATGTTCAAGTGATTCTCCTGCCTAAGCCTCCAGAGTAGCTGAGATTACAGGCACCCACCACTGCAACCGGCAATTTTTTGTTATTTTTAGTAGAGATGGGGTTTCACTATGTTGACCAGGTTGGTCTGGGACTCCTGACCTTCAGTTATCTGCCCGCCATGGTCTCCCAAAATCCTAGGATTACAGGCATGTGCTACTGTGCACAGCCTGGTGTAAAATGGTTTAAACATGCAGGGGAATGACAACAAAAACTAATTTAGGCTGTTTTCTACCTCTAGGCAATTTACAAGAGCATAAAGACACCAAGGCCAAATGCTTAAGAGTCACTCTTCTAAAACACTATGTCTAGCAAAGAGCCATCAAGTCATGATTTTTTAAAATTATAAGTCACACACACACACACAGTCACTGAATCAGAAAAAGAAACAGATTTTCTTTGACTGTCAGGTAACACTCACAACACAGCCGTGTCAGCAAGTGAAACTTTTCCCTAAGTGATAAAGATCAGAATTCCAATCAGCATTTGAACCATTGCAAATATTTCAGTCTCAAAATTCACCTGCGCAACCAAACACGTGCAGAAATTGCAAATTGGAAACTTTATACTATCAGGACATTAAAGTTGAACCACATGAGGTAAAGCACAATTATTTTTAAAATCTCCAAATCTTATACTTGTAAATGATATTTTCTCAAACATAAATACTAACATAGGCATTATTTGTGCCAATTTTTCCCAGCAAATTTTGAAAAGAAAACAACACTGGGAATAAAAGGGCTCTCAGCATTTCAAATATTTTAATATTCTTCTTTCCAGAGTAAAATTAAAATTACAAAATTCCACACTACTTTGAATGTTTCTCTGTCCTTCAATTCTAAGGCTTTATTTGGAATAGAAACTTTCATTCCCACAGGTTGAGCTAAATGGAGTTTGGAAATAAAATAATATATAACGTATACTTCATAAAATATGTAGTTAATATTCAAGATAAAAATAGAAAAGTTGTTACCTGCAGAAGACCATCTTTATCAGAAGACTCTAAAGAAAAGGATATATATAATTGATAATATACAAGCCTGACGAAGGAAGCCTACCAAACATTCACACAGTGTGAATATGAAGATGAATCCTCGGCGCTTGGATGGAAAAGGGATTACACTAGGTTGTGGGGTCTTTTGGGTTATTGTCTTTGTTAACATGCCAATGTGACAGAAATATCCCTAAGAAAATTTAACGAAAAAATTTCATCAAACATGCTGTGAAGATTTCCACAGTGAAAGATATTTAAAGTGACAATAACTAAAAGCAGAAAAATCCTAATACCAGTAGGAGTAGCTGCTATGCTGGGGAAGAAGTTATTATTTAGTATGACCAAGTCATGACACTCACCCCCACACCAGAAACAATGTCCAAAGCTAACGACAAAATGCAGTCGCATATGGTTAAGAAAACACATGAGAATCATTTATGTCAAAATACTACAAGTAGCTATTATGTTCTTCAATTTGTCCTGCAATTTAGGAATTGCAAATTTGCGAAGAGGGTTCAAAGGTACAATTCACTTATCATTGCATGTTCTAAATTTATCAGCATAAATATTCATTTATAGAATAAAAGTTAATAAATAAATTTAATTTGTACCTCTGTGAAATACGATTATTTTACATTTGGCAGGGTTCTCTAGTTTAGTCCTCTTAAAATTTCTTGATCACTTATACAAAAGGTCAATACGTACCCATCAACAAACTAATCAGGCCGGTGCAGTGGCTCGTACCTGTAATTCCAGCACTTTGGAAGACTGAGGAGGGTGGATGTCTCAAGGCCAGGAGTTGCAAACCAGTCTGGCCAAAATAGCAAAACCCTCTCTTCACAAAAAATACAAAAATCAACCAGGTATGGTGACACATGCCAGGAACCCAAGCTACTTGGGAGCCTGAGCTACGAGCATCACTTGAACCTAGGAAGCGGAGGTTGCAGTGAGCCAAGATCATGCTACCCACACACTCCAGCCGGATGACAGAGCGAGACTCTGTCTCAAAAAAAAAAGAAAAAAAAAAAAAAAAAACCCTAGTATGAAAGTATCAAAAACTAGAAGTCAATTTCCAGAGCCTTTTTATATATCATTAACCTGCGTAATTCAAGTTTGGAATAATGGTTATTGAAAGTAATGGATTTTGGTGTTCAAAGGAATGAACCGACAATTGCTTTGTTGCTAAAACTTATTCTATTTGTTTTACTATAAGTTGTTAAACTAGCGTTATGAAAAAGCTCTTATAAAAAACTTAGCTTCAAGAAAAAACAGACATTTCTTTGACACAGAAATATAGCTCTCCTTTCATCAAATAATAATAAAACATGCTTAATCTCCTAATTTTTCCCTATTTTAATTTTTCCAGTATGACATCTGTAATATGTTTAAAGATACCAAGTATATATGCTGTTTCCCCTGAGGAGATGATTGATCAATAAGGTAAGACAATTCAGGGATACAAACTCTCTAAGACACGTAAATTTATGTCTAACCATTTTTAAGGCTAAATATGCATGACCATGTGCATGTATGCATTTTTAGAAAAAAGTACTTAAATCATAATCAATACTCTTTAAATTAAAACCTGTTTTAATTACAATTAGGTCGTTCTAGATTCAGTAATATCTTTAAAATTTATTTCTGAAACACTGAAGAAATCTAAGAAATTCAAATATGAGAATTGAAACCATTAATTCATCTGCTTGTTTTAGGTAAAAATAGGATAGAGGTGTACATCCTGAATAAGTGCAAAGAAAGCAGAATGCCACGAGATGGGAAATGAATATGTAACCAAAATATTTCCCTTTGTAAAGAAAATACCAGGCTTTAACCTGGTTGCTAAGACAAGACAAAAGAAAACAAAACAGACACAGATGAAACATTCAGAGCTATCTCATCATCAAGGAACCGTCTATCACTTGGCATTTAGGAATCCTAGGTGTGGTTGAAAACTCCGGTTCTAAATTGTGATTGATTATCCCTGAAGTTCAAAATCCACACAGAGAACCAACTAGGGGAAATACAGCACTTATCTATGATTTTTAATTACTATTATTTTTATAAAGGAGTGCACTGGAGATTTTAGAGTCAGGACAGGGCATATGGCATAGCTCTAAAGATTAGTGAGCCACATTTGTAATGGCTATCGAAATGTGTGGGAGTACATACTTTTATTTTAAGTACATCTCCTCAGTGAAAGTGTTATGAATTGATCAGCTTAGATATATACTTAAGAGAATAATACTCAATATAAATATTCACTGATTTTCATACCCAGATGGTATAATGGTATGCCAACATTTTTGTAATTTGTAGCTTAGCCATCTCAATATTTCTTGATCCACTCATGGAGGAAGATGTACAAAACTCATCAGGAATAGCAAATACGCTTTCAATATTGACATATTTGTTTCAAATTTAGTTGCAACAGACTTCTTAAATATCGAGAACATTTTTCTATATTAACATCAAGTACAGTAGCTAAATATATAACAACAATTTAAGTATTCAAGTAAAACATTCTGAATTTTCTTTCTTCTTCTTCTTCTCTGGCTAAAATGTACTCAAAAATAAAACAACATAATGCTTTCTCCTGACCCTTTTCTGTCTTCACCTTCTATATCCGATTGCTCTTCCTCCACATTTCTCCCACCAAAGGCCTCTCCTCTTGCTACTCAGAGCAAGGTCCAAGGACAACCAGCATCAGCATCGCCTGACAACATTAAAAATGCAGAATCCCAAGTGACTGAATCACAGTGTGAATTGTTAACAAGGTTTCCAGCTGATTTTCTAACGTCTGAAAACTTTACAGTTATACGGAGTGTATGTGACAAATTACATACCGTGTGGCGATGTATATATGCTTATTCTCACTACTGCAAATACAACACAGCTCTCCACTGGTCAGGTGCTTCCATCCTAATGGCTTCCCACCAGTGAGAGAAGACGGAAGAGTCACAACATTTTTAAGCTAATTCTCTGGTAAGTTCTGGTACTAGAAGGTCACTTTATGTTCTTCCCAAATTTCTAACCATACCCGATCTTTTCCTAAAGAATCCTTTCATTTTACCATCCTCCATTATATTAAACCTGCTTCTTGTTCCTTCCTGTACTCTGTGTACTGTCTGTCTTTCTCAGTCTTCATTTCCTCTTTTACTACTGTCTTCTTTCTTATTTTCTCATTTTCCTCAGGTCTTGGAATATCTTGAATTCAAACTAATAATTCAGATAACTTTCAGCGCTCTCAATGTAGTCTGTTGCTAAAATCTGATAAGATGTACAATTTACTACCCATTTCAATTCTGTTTTTTTCTATGTTTGCACTTAGGAGGTGATTTTCTTTGGCTATTGGGGATATTCCTCCTCATCAGTTTAGAGAAATATTTGAATTAAATGACATTTTTAAATAAAAAATGATTCTTACCTTCTAATTTTCCCACTTATTGTATCGAATTCTTTTAGGTAATGTATATGGGTAAATACACATCATTCTGTAAAAGATTCTCAAAAGTCTGTTAAGTAATATCAATAAATAATTTCAACGGAGAAATCCCAATAATGAAGAGTATCAAAATTTCCTAAATAAACTCTTTTGGAAAAACACAGTTTCCTACTTTACAAGCAATTCGACTTAAGAGCAGACGTGTGTTGAAACCCAAAACATTTTGATAGAAAACCTCAAGTAGCCTCTCAGCATCCAAGCTTGTCTGTACGTTCATGGCCTTTATGAACTTGGTTAGTGAGAAGGAAAAACAAATCCACATTCCATGAAATAGATTCCATCTGCGTATTTCAAAAGTAACTCTCAAAATATCTAACTTGTGTTGTAGTCCTCATCAAAATAAGCATGACATTTCCGACAAAATACAATACACTTGCTAGTTGCCATAACACATACCGCATTAAACATTTAAACTATTCATGATCGAAATTCGTTTAGTGTTAAAAATGATGCATGTCATGAAGAGAACTTTGAGAGTCTGTCATATAATGTATGCACAGAATGTTGAAAAAGTTGCTTTATTTCAGTAAACAGGGGCTTAAAACAAGCAACGAGTTTCTGACAAAATTTATGCTGATCGGAAAAGTGCTTCAATAGAATGTAAATGCAGTAAGAAGAAAAGTCCTGTCATGTCTAAACGAAAGCAAACAAATATTAAAATCTTTTTGTCTGATGACAAATCAGATAAAATCTACTTGTCTATTGACTTCCACCCTTTGCTGTTACCACCAGGCAGCAGCTGCTTGTTCTCACAAGAGGTCACACATTGTCCACGTCTTTCCACAGCTGTGACGGCAAAATACATCACTATTATTTGACGCTCATGCTGCTGCAGCACGGCTGCCTGCCATAAAGGGACTCGAGGAGTTCTTTTGTGAAAATAATTTATATTTTTCAAAAGACTACTCAACCAATACTCTTGTTATTATAGTCCCACAAGGTTTCCTATTCTTCAAGCTTTTCTTTCTCTAAAATGATCCCTCAGGTCTATACTGAACAAGAAAGAAATGTCAATGTGTCAATTCAGCATTAATTTTCGGGCTAACCTTTACAACGTCTGCGGTTTTAAACTGTCTCTCTACGAATTCAATTAGAACTCTTGTACATCTAGATATACCATAGAATCATAAATTTGTCCTCAGCAGGACTCAGTGTAATTCTTTCACTTTTAGACAAACTTATTTCAGATCCCACGTGAATTTCTAGTGACTTCTAAGCCTTATTTTTTACACTATACCACACTGGCTTCTTAAATTAATCTAGAAATTACCAGAACTTCCTCTGACAGTAATCTACTTATACATAGATTCTCTATAAGCATATTCTGAAAAATATCAAACATAATTTGGGGGGGACATATGCGGAGGTGAGAAAATAAAGTCTAAGCCTCTGATTTTATATTTTCGTATCATGAAACACTAATATTTTTAAAAAATCAATTATACACAGTACCTCAAAATTCAAATAATCTTCTTCATCGTCCTTTTGTTTGGATTCTGATGGGAACTTCTGAGCTATAAAAGGTTAATCACAGATACATTCAGCAGAACATTTCTCTACTGTAAACTTTAAAACACATACAAATCTACTTTCATTCACAAATTTGAAGTTTTCTCCCTCTATAGACAGTATATTCTTTTTGTAGGTGCTGTCACTACTTCTCCATAGTCAATCGTTAGAATTGAAATCTAAAAAGCCTAAAATTAACATTATAGCATTCATTATAGTGTGCAGAAAAAAGAAATTTGACTAACTCATTATGGATTTTTTTATTTACAAAGCAGTCATTTTCTCTTCTCCCATGAAACACAGTAAGTTCTATACTTGCTGTTCTTTTCAGAAGCTTTAATTACCTATAATCTCCCATTTAGATTTGTACATATTCGTTTTAGTATTACTTAGTTTGACTGACACTGCAATTTCTATTACAGTAGAGACATATCTAAGTCAGTAGATAAAACTAACTTCGAAGACTCTGAAATCTGCATGTTTTCATTTCATTCATTACTTATCAGCATAAAAATTGTATAGTTAAGTATGGTACAGCCATACAAGAAATTTTATACATAAACGAATGTGAAAAAACACAGTTAATTGTGTCCATTATGGATGTCTCTAAAAATTATCATGTTGATCACAAGAATGTTACTTAAAAGTACACTGTACACCATGTACGCATTAGAAGTTGAAAAATAATTTTACATATTAAATATGAGCACGCACACGTTGTAAATATTTAAACATGCATCAAATTGTTTTAAAAGTAGTTTAGAATATTAGTCACTTTGAACCAATAGTGGGACTAATGTAAAAAGACTCTGGGGCGGGTGGCAGGTGGCTCCGGCCTGTAAAGCCAGCACTTTGGGAGGCCGAGGTGGAGGCGGATCACCAGGTCAGCAGATCCAGGCCATCTGGCTAGCATGGTGAAACCCCGTCTCTCCTAAAATATATACAAAATTAGCCGGACGTGGTGGCGGGCGCCTGTAGTCCCAGCTACTCCGGAGGCTGAGGCAGGAGAATGGGTGAACCCGGGAGGCCAGGAGCTTACAGTGAGCAGGGATCCGCCACTGCTCCCAGCCTGGGCCAGAGAGAGCGAGCAAGCGGCGAAACTCCTCGAAAAGGAAAGAAGAAAAAGAGAAAATTTAAGACATGAAAACAAATTCTACACATAGTCTATAACCACACACATACGCTGTGAGGCTTTGTTTGTTCCTTCCTTTGCTTTTTGAGATGGAGTCTCAGTCTGTCACTCAGGCTAAGTGCCTGCACAGCTCTGCTCACTGCAACTTCTGCCTCCTAGGTTCAAGCGATTCTCCTGCCTCAGCCTCCAGAGTAGCTGAGATTACAGGCACCCACCACCACAACCGGCGATTTTTGGTTATTTTCTGTAGAGATGGCGTTTCACTATGTTGACCAGGTTGGTGGGACTCCCTGACCTTCAGTTATCTACCCGCCTTGGTCCCCCAGCTGAATTACTGGCACATGTCTGACACACAGCCTGGTGTAAAATGTTTCAAACGTGCCTGGGAATGACAACCAAAATGAATTCAGGCTGTTTGTACCTCTAGGCAATTAATTACAGTAGCATAAAAGTAGCTCAAATGCTTTAGAAGTCACTCTTCTAAATACTGTGTCTAGCAAGAGCCATCCAAGTCATGATTTTTAAAATTATAAGTCACACACACACACAAACACACACACACACCCCACACACCCACTCAGTCACCGAATCAGAAGAACAGAAACTGATTTTCTTTCTATTCTCAGAGTGACAACACTCCCCAACTATCATGTCAGCAAGTGAAACTTTCCTCTAAGATCAGAATTCCAATCAGCGCTTGAACCACTGCAAATATTTCACAGTCTCAAATTCACCTGCCTAGGGAAACCAAGCAAGTGCAGGAAATTGCAAATTGGAAACTTTATACTATCAGGACATTAAAGTTGAACCACATGAGGTTAAGCAGAATGTTTTTAAACTCTTAATCTTAGGCTTCTAAGTAGCATTTTTCTCAAACATACATACAAACATTGGCATTATTTGGACCAAGATTTCCGTCAAATTTTGAAAAGAAAACAACACTGGGAGAATAAGGGCTCTCAGCATTTCAAATATTTTAGTGTTCTTCTTTCCAGAGTAAAATTAAAACTACAAAATTTACCTGCTTTGACTGTTTCTCTGTCCTTTAATTCTAAGGCTTTATTTGGAATAGAAGCTTTCATTCCACGGTAGGCTAAATGGGTTTGGAAATAAAATAGTGTATATAATGTATCTTATAAAAATATGTAGTTAATATTCAAGATAAAAATAGAAAAGTTGTTACCTGCAGAAGACCATCTTTATCAGAAGACTCTAAAAGAAAAGGGACATATATAATTGATAATATGCAAACTGACAAAACCTACCAAACATTCACACAGTGTGAATATGAAGATGAATCCTCCTTGGATGGAAAGGGATTACACTAGGTTGTGGGGTCTTTTGGGTTATTGTCTTTGTTAACATGCCAAACGTGACAGAAATATCCTAAGAAAATTTAACAAATAAATGTCATCAAACACGCTGTGAAGATTTCCACAGTGAAAAGATATTTAAAGTGACAATAACTAAAGCAGAAAAATCCTAATACCAGTAGGGTGGCTGCTATTAAGGAGCAGAAGTTGTATTCAGTAAGATGACCAAGTCACGACCCCCCCGCCCCCAAAAAAGCAGAGATGTCAAGCTGATGGTAGAATGCTATGGTATACAGTTAAGGAAACACATGAGAAACACTTATGTCAAAATACTACAAGTAGCTCTTATGTTCTTCGAAGATTTGTCTGTAGTTTGAAATTGCAAATTTGCGATGAGGTTCAAGGTACAATTCACTTATCATTGCAGAGAATGCTCTAAATTTATCAGCATAAATATCTACTTATAGAATAATAGTTAATAAATAAGTTCATTTTGTACCTGTGTGAAATATGAGTATTTTTACATTTATGGGGTTCTCTCATTTAGTCCTCTTAAAATTTCTGATCCTTATACAAAAAGATCAAAGCATACCCATCCAACAAACTAATCCAGGCCAGGTGGTGGCTCATGCCTGTAATTCCAGCATTTTGGAAGGCCGAGGAGGGCGGATCTCTGGGGAGCCAGGAGTTCCAAACCAGCCTGGCCAAAATAGCGAAACCTGTCTCCACAAAAATACAAAAATCAGCCAGGTATACGTGGCACATGCCTGGAACCAAACCCTCGGGGTCTGAGCTACGGGAATCACTTGAACCCAGGCGGAGGTTGCAGTTAGCCAAGATCATGCACTGCACTTCAGCCTGGATGATGACAGGTAGAATTCTGTCTCAAAAAAAGAAAAAACAAACAAACAAACAAAAAACCTAATGTAGAAAGTATCAAAAAACTAGAAAGTCAATTTCCAAAGACTTTACATATCACGAACCTGTGTGTTGCAGTGTTAGAATAGTTATTAAATAACAATTTCAGCGTTCAAGGAATGAATTCTACAATTACTTTTGTTGCTAAATTTATTCTATTTGCTATACCATATGAGTTGTTAAACTACTGTGCTGAAAAGCTCTTATACAACACTTAACTTCAGAAAAAAACAGACATTTCCTTCACATAGAAATACATCCCTTTCATCAAATAATATTAATAAAATACACTTGATCTCTCAGTTTTCTCTACTTTTTGTTTTTCACTATGACATACTTTAATATATTTAGAAAAATCATTTATACATGTTGTTTCCCTTGAGAGATGATTGATCATCTACTCAATTTAACACTCAGGGATATTAACCCTCTTAAACACATCAAATTTATGTCTAACCATTTTAAGGCTAAATATGCATGATCATATTGCATACATGTGTTTTGAAAAAAGTGTACCAAAATTGTATCCGATACGCTTTAAATAAAAACCTGCTTTAATTACAATGAGAAGGTCATTCTCAAGTCATTAATATCTTTAAAACTGACGTCTGAAGCACTGAAGAAACCTCAGAAATTCAGATGAGAATTGATACCATTAATTCATCTGCATTTTAGGTAAAAATACGATAAATGTACATCCTCACTAAGGGCAAAGACAGCAGAGTGCCATGAGATAGGAAATGAATATGTAACTTCAAAATATTTTCCTTTATATAGAAAATAGCTGAAAACACAACCTTTCTAAGACAAGATAAAAAAGTAAAACAGGTAGAGATGAAACATTCAAACTATCCATCATCAAAAGGAATCATTTATCACTTGGAATTTAGGAATTCTAGGTATGGTTGAAAACTCTATTTCTGGATTGTGATCTGATTTTCCTTGAAGTTCACAATCGAAATACTACCCCTAGTTATTTTCTTTTATTACTTTTATTTTTATAAAGGGATACGCTGGAGATTTTTAGAGTCAGGACAGGTCTGTGGCATAGCCTAAGATTAGTGAGCCACATTTTTAATGGCCATTGAAATGTATGGCTGTGCATATTTGTATATTAATGCTTCACTTTTAAATTCTAATATAGCATGAAGCAGGACAACACACTTAAAGAAAGGCTTGTTGGCATTTCAAATTATATTTATGTTGCTTTTTAATCATCACGAAGAGTCTAATTAATCTTGGTGCTACGTGAACATCACAATATGCACACTATAGAAAACTTTTTGTTGTTGTTTTTTAGACTGAGTGCTGTCCTGTCGCCTAGGCTGGAGTGCAGTGGCGCGATCTCGGCTCACTGCAAGCTCTGCTTCCCGGGTTCTCGCATTTTCCTGCCTCAGCCTCCCGAGTAGCTGAGACTGCAGGTGCCACGCCCTGCTTCCAGCTAATGTTTGTATGTTTTCGTAGAGACGGGTTTCCTACATGTTAATCAGGATGGTCTCCATCTGCCGACCTCGTGATCCACCAACCTTGGCCTCCACAGTGGTGGGATTACAGGCGTGAGACACTGCGCGCCCGGCCTGAAATTTTTTTTTTTTTTTAATTTATTTATTTATTTATTTATTTTTTTTTTTTTTTTTTTTTTTGAGATGGTGTCTTGCTCTGTCGCCCAGGCTGCAGTGCTTGTGGTGGGATCTAAGCTCACTGCCGCTCCGCCTGCCGGGTTCACGCCATTCTCACAGCTCAGCCTCCCGAGTACCTGGGACTGCAGGCGCCTGCCACCAAGCCCGGCTAGTTTTTGTATTTTTTTAGTAGAGAGGGGGGTTTGCCGTGTTAGCCAGGATGGTTTCGATCTCCTGACCTCGTGATCCACCAGCCTCGGCCTCCCACAGTGCTGGGATTACAGGCTTGAGCCACCGCGCCCGGCCTGAAATCTTAAAATAAATTAAAGGCGAGCTAATCGCCGAACAAAACAAAGTTGCTGTGGAATGACAAGAACCACGGAGGTGTAACCATTTATATATGATGTTTGCAAAAAGTGTTTATACCAATATGTATATGCTGAGTGATGAGGAGAGAAGTGATCTTGAATCAGAGACAAATCATGACACTGAAAATAAATGCAACAGCTGAATGAGGAGAATGCTACGCTGTGTCCTCAACGCAACACATTAAAATAATATATATCATTGTATTGCAAGCATTCATCATGCTCTTTACCATGTCCTGTCATTGAAGTACACCGTTCAGATGAGAGTTCAATTGGATGTAAGTTACATCTCCTCAGTGAAGTGTTAATGAATTGATCAGCTTGGATATATGTAGAGAATAATACTCAATATAAATATTCACTGATTTTCATGCCAGGTGGTATAATGGTATGCCAACATTTTTGTAATTTGTAGCTTAGCCATCTCAATATTTCTTGATCCACTCATGGAGGAAGATGTACAAAACTCATCAGGAATAGCAAATACGCTTTCAATATTGACATATTTGTTTCAAATTTAGTTGCAACAGACTATTAAATATCAAAGAACATTTTCTATATTAACATCAGTACAGTAGCTACGTATAACAACAATTTAAGTATTCAAGTAAAACATTCTGAATTTTCTTTCTTCTTCTTCTTCTCTGGCTAAAAATGTACTCAAAAATAAGAGCAACATAGTAACTCACAAGCCCTTTCTCTTCACCTTCTATATCCGATTGCTCTTCCTCCACATTTCTCCCACCAAAGGCCTCTCCTCTTGCTACTCAGAGCAAGGTCCAAGGACAACCAGCAACAACATCACCTGACATCTTATTAAAAATGCAGAATCCCTAGTCGGCTGAATCACAGTGTGAATTGTTAACAAGGTTTCCAGCTGATTTTTCCTATGATCTGAAAACTTCTGGTCTATATGGAGTGTATATGAGAAATTACATACACGTGTGGCGATGCATATATGCTTATTCCCACCTACCAAATACAACACAGCTCTCCATGTTGAAGTGCTTCCCATCACCCTCACGGCTTCCCACCACTGAGAAAGTTGGAAAGAGTCACAGTATTTTTGCACTAATTCTCTGGTAATTTTTGGTATTGGAAGGTCACTTTAGATTCTTCCCAAATTTCTAACCATACCCGATCTTTTCCTAAAGAATCATTTCATTTTACCATCCCGCATTATATAAACCTGCTTCTCGTTCCTTCCTGTACTCTGTGCTTGCTGTCTCTGCTTTCTCAGTCTTCATTTCCTCTTTTTACTACTATCTTCTTTCTTATTTTTCTCATTTTTCCTCAGGTCTTGGAATATCTTGAATTCAAACTAATAATTCCGTTCCTTTCAGCACTCTCAATGTAATCTGTATTTGCCAACACATGATAAAATTACAATTTATCACAACTTCACTTCACATTTTTTCCATGCTGCTTTGCATTTAGAGTACTTTTCTTGACTATTTGGGATATCCTTCCTCATCTGTTTATAGAAATACTTGGTCAAATGTCTTTTTAAATAAAAATGGTTCTTACCTTCTAATTTTCCACTTATTTACTGAATTCTTTTTTGATGTGTGTAGCCTTGGGTAAACATTCATCATTCTGTAAAACATTCTCAAAAATTCTGTTAAAAGTAATATCAATAAATAATTTCAGCGGAGAAATCCCAATAATGAAGAGTATCAAAATGTCTAATTAAAATCTTTAAAGCACAGTTTCCTACTTGACAAGCAATTAGAGCTTAAGAGCAGATGTGTGTTGAAACCCAAAACATTTCGATAGAAAACCTCACGTGCGCTCTCTGTATAAACATCTTTACGTTCATGATCACAATGAACTTGGTTAGTGAAGAAGGAAAAACAAGTCACATGCCTGATAATTCCTCCTGCGTATTTCAAAAAAGTAACTCTCTTAAAAATTATCTAGCTTGTGTTGTAGTCCTTATCAAAAATAAACATGACATTTCAAACAAAATACAATACACTTGCTAGTTGCCATAACACATACACATTAAACATTTAAACTATTCATGATCAGAGAATCGTTTAGTGTTAAAAATGATGCATGTCATGAAGAGAACTTTGAGAGATACCGCATTAAACATTTAAACTATTCATGATCAGAGAATCGTTTAGTGTTAAAAATGATGCATGTCATGAAGAGAACTTTGAGAGTCTGTCATGTAATGTATGCACAGATGTTGAAAATGCTTCTTCATTTTGGTAAATTGGAGCTTAAAACAAGCAACATGTTTTTAACAAAATTATGCTGATAGAAAAAGTGCTTGAATAGAATGTAAATGCAATAAGAAAAAAAATGTCGTATATAAATGAAAGCAAGCAAATATTAAATTCTTTTTGTCTGATGACAAATCAGATGAAATCTCCTTGTCTATTGCCCTCCACCCTTTGCTGTTACCACCAGGCAGGAGCTGCTTATTTCTAAGAGGTCAGATATTTTCCATGTCTTTCCACAGTTGTGACCTTAAAATACATCACTATTGTTTGACGCTCATGCTGCTGCAACTTGACTGCCTGCCATAAAGGGACTCGAGGAGTTCTATTTGTGAAAATAATGTATATTTTTCAAAAGACTACTCAACCACTACTCTTGTTTTTATGGTCCCACAAGGTTTCCTATTCCTCACACTTTTCTTTCTCCTGAAATGTTCCCTCAGGTCTATACTGTACAATATAGAAGTGTCAATACACACATTCAAGTCCCAGGCATTAACTTTTCAGGTACCAACTTTTAGAATACTGCAGTGTAGACTCTCTCTCTATGAATCCATTTAGAAATTTTGTACATCTAGATATACCACAGAGTCATAAATCTGCCCACAGCTGGACCCGGTATAATTCTTTTGCTTTTAGACAAACTTACTTCAGATCCCATGTGAATTTCTAGTGACTTCTAAGCCTTTTTTTTACACTGTACCCCACTGGCTTCTTAAATTAATCCTAGAAATTAGCAGAATTTCACTATGAAGCAGTGATCTACTTAGCACATAAATTCTCTATTAAGTGTATTCTGAAAAATATCAAACATAATTTGGGGGTGACATATGCAGAGGTGAGAAAGTCTAAGCCTCTGATGTTATGTTTTTGTATCATGCAATACTAATATTTTTAAAAATCAGTTCTACACAGTACCTCAAAATCCAAACGATCTTCTTCATTGTCCTTTTGTTTGGATTGTGATGGGAACTTCTGAGCTATAAAAGGTTAATCACAGATACATTCATGAGAACTTTTCTCTACTATAAACATTAAAAACATATACAAATCTACTTTCATTCACGAATCTGAGGTGTTTTCCTCTGTAGCTCGTATATTCTTTTTGTCGATTACAATTACTACTTCTGTAGTCAATCCATTAGAATTTAAATCTAAAAAATCTGACATTTAATGTTATATCATTCATTAAAATGCAGAAAATTATATTTAACTTGTGATCCCTACATCCGTAAAGTTCACATTTCATGCACAGGGTCCAAGAAACCAAATCATACCTTGGTATGTCACCATTTTCACTCATTTTTAGAAGTGTACCCTGAATGGTTTCAGAGATCTGACAAGTCGCAACACTGTAGCTCTATAATGTGTGGGTCACAGTTCGAATTGTTAGTGGAATGTATGACTGCACAAGGAAATACTTTAAATATTTTAGTTTTAACTTCCAATAACTAAAAATTCAGTATATAAAACTAACTTAAAGACTGAAATCTGCTTGTTTTCATTTTTATTTATTATTTATCAGCATAAAAATTGTGTAGTTAACTATGGTACATTCATACAATGGAATTTTATAAGCCACCTAATATTTAAAAACACAGTTAATTGTGTCCACTATGGATATCTCTAAAAATTATAACGCTTATCGAAAAACAATGTTGCCAAAAATTGTATTGTACCACCACATACGTATTAGAAGTTGAAAAATATTTTACATATTAAATATGACTATGCACTCCTGTTGTAAAATATTTAAACATGCATAAGAATAGTTTTTAAAGATAGTTTATTATATTGGTTTCTCATAGGCAATAAACAGTACTAGTGTACATCCCAAAGGACCTCTTCAAGGAGAACAACAAACCACTGCTCAGTGAAATAAAAGAGGACACAAACAAATGGAAGAGTATTCCATGCTCACGGATAGAAAGAACCAATATTGTGAAAATAGCTACACTGCCCCAGGTAATTTATAGATTCAATGCCATCCCCATCAAGCTACCAATGAGTTTCTTCACAGAATTGGAAGAAAACTACCTTAAAGTTCATATGGAACCAAAAAAGACCCCGCATTGCCAAGACAGTCCTAAGCCAAAAGAACAAAGCTGGAGGCATCATAGTACCTGACTTCAAACTATACTACAAGGCTACAGTAACCAAAACAGCATGGTACCAGTACCAAAACAGAGATATAGACCAATGGAACAGAACAGAGCCCTCAGAAATAATACCATACATCTACAGCCTTCTGATCTTTGACAAACTGGACAAAAACAAGAAACAGGGAAAGGATTCCCTATTTAATAAATGGTGCTGGGAAACTTGGTTAGCCATAAGTAGAAAAATGAAACTGGATCCTTTCCTTACTCCTTACATGAAAATTAATTCAAGATGGATTAGAGACTTAAATGTTAGACCTAATACCATAAAAACCCTAGAAGAAAACCTAGGTAATATCATTCAGGACATAGGCATGGGCAAGGACTTCATGTCTAAAACACCAAAAGCAATGGCAACAAAAGCCAAAATTGACAAATGGGATCTAACTAAAGAGCTTCTGCACAGCAAAAGAAACTCCCATCAGAGTGAACAAAAGAAACTCCCATCAGAGTGAACAGGCAACCTACAGAATGGGAGAAAATTTTTGCAATCTACTCATCTGACAAAGGGCTAATATCCAGAACCTACAAAGAACTCAAACAAATTTACAAGAAAAAAACAAACAACCCCATCCAAAAGTGGGCAAAGGATATGAACAGACATTTCTCAAAAGAAGACATTCATACAGCCAACAGACACATGAAATGTCATCATCACTGGCCATCAGAGTAGTGCAAATCAAAACCACAATGAGATACCATCTCACACCAGTTAGAATGGCAATCATTACAAAGTCAGGAAAACAACAGGTGCTGAGAGATGTGGAGAAATAGGAACACTTTACACTGTTGGTGGATTGTAAATCAGTTCAACCATTGTGGAAAACAGTGTGGTGATTCCTCAAGGATCTAGAACTAGAAATTCCATTTGACCCAGCCATCCCATTACTGGGTATATACCCAAAGGATTATAAATCATGCTGTTAAAAAGACACATGCACACGTATGTTTATTGTGGCACTATTCACAACAGCAAAGACTTGGAATCAACCCAAATGTCCATCAGTGACACACTGGATTAAGAAAATGTGGCACATGACCCTGTTTGCCTGGGTAGGACTTCTTCATGTCTAAAACACCAAAAGCAACGGCAGCAAAAGCCAAAATTGACAAATGGATCTCATTAAACTAAAGAGCTTCTGCACAGCAAAAGAAACTCCCATCAGAGTGAACAGGCAACCTACAGAATGGGAGAAAATGTTTGCAATCTACTCATCTGACAAAGGGCTAATATCCAGAACTCACAAAGAACTCAAACAAATTTACAAGGAAAAAACAAACAACCCCATCAAAAAGTGGGCAAAGGATATGAATAGACACTTCTCAAAAGAAGACATTTATACAGCCAACAGACACATGAAAAATGCTCATCATCACTGGCCATCAGAGAAATGCAAATCAAAACCACAATGAGATACCATCTCACACCAGTTAGAATGGCACCACACAAAGTCAGGAAAACAACAGGTGCTGGAGAGGATGTGGAGAAATAGGAACACTTTTACACTGTTGGTGGGATTGTAAACTAGTTCAACCATTATGGAAAACAGTATGGCGATTCCTCAAGGATCTAGAACTAGATGTACCATATGACCCAGCCATCCCATTACTGGGTATATACCCAAAGGATTATAAATCATGCTGCTATAAAGACACATGCACACGTATGTTTATTGCAGCACTATTCACAATAGCAAAGACCTGGAATCAACCCAAATGTCCATCAGTGACAGACTGGATTAAGAAAATGTGGTACATATACACCATGGAATACTATGCAGCCATAAAAAAGGATGAGTTTGTGTCCTTTGTAGGGACATGGATGCAACTGGAAACCATCATTCTTAGCAAACTATCACAAGAACAGAAAACCAAACAGCGCATGCTCTCACTCATAGGTGGGAACTGAACAATGAGATCACTTGGACTCGGGAAGGGGAACATCACATACCAGGGCCTATCATGGGGAGGGGGAAGGGGGGAGGGATGGCATTGGGAGTTATACTTGATGTAAATGACGAGTTGATGGGTGCTGACAAGTTGATGGGTGCAGCACAGCAACATGGCACAAGTATACATATGTAACAAACCTGCACGTTATGCACATGTACCCTAGAACTTAAAGTATAATAATAATAATTAAAAAAAGAAAAAAGAAAAAAGAAAATGCAGCACATATACACCATGGAATACTACGCAGCCATAAAAAAGGATGAGTTCGTGTCCTTTTAGGGACTTAGATGCAGCTGGAAACCATCATTCTCAGCAAACTATCCCAAGAACAGAAAACCAAATACCACATATTCTCACTCATAGGTGGGAATTGAACAATGAGATCACTTGGACACAGGAAAGGGAACATCACACCCTAGGGCCTATTGTGGAGGGGTGACAGGGGAGGGATAGCATTAGGAGATATACCAAGTGTAGGTGACGAGTTAATGGGTGCAGCACACCAACATGGCACATGTATACATATGTAAGAAACCTGCATATTGTGCACATGTACCCTAGAACTTAAAGTATAGTAATAACAATAATAATAATAGTACTAGTGTAAAAAGACTCTAAAGCCAAATGCTTCAGAAGCACAGTTTTATGAAAAAGTGTGTTTATCAAATATTCACAAAGAAATGATTGATTACTTTCCTCATCTTTACATAGTAAAGGTAAAACACACAAAAACAGACACACATAGGCACACACGATGAAACACACACACAAACACACATAGTTCACTACTCAGAGTTACTGATTTTCTTAGGATTCTCAAAGTGACAACACTGGAAATGAGGTCATTAATGTTGAAACACAAATGTTATATCAATAAAAGAAGCGATCTCCAAAGTAAACCATGGAATTGAATCAAGCTTTGAAGAACTAAAAAAAATTAGATTTTCAAAATTCACCTTCTTGAATCCTTAAGAAATACAGAAGTTCAAAATAGAAAACATTACAGTTTTGGGATACAAAACTAGAAACACCTGAGGTTAAGGTTACATTTTAAAAAAAACTATTGAAAATTACTGTTCTTGTAATAACAGGTTTTCAAATATAAATACCAGTATTGGCATTACTTAGATCAAATCTTTTCATCAAAGTTGAAAAAAATTAAGCATTGGAGATAGAAAGACTATCAAACTATTCAATATTGAAATATTCATATTTCCATAGTTAAATTGAAAAATTTACCTGTTCTCAATGTTTGTTCATTCTTCCATTTGAAGGCTTTATTTGGAACAGAGTTTTGCATTTTAGTGGCAGGCTAAATGGGTTTGGAAGCGAAATGATTATTAAAGAATGTATACTTCACAAAATACGTAGTTAATAAGTCATTAAAAATGAAATTATAAAACCAAATACCTTGAAGGCAGATGGCTTCTCAGGAGGCTCTTAAAAGCAAAAGAGATTTATCATCAATCATAAGTAAATATGACAAAACCAACCACAAATGAATGCAGTGATAATATCTAACTGAGTTCTCTTGGTTGACTTTGAGAATGAATACTTTAGATTTGGAAAGTTTGTTTAGGACACACACATGACAGGAATACACTGAAGAAAATATAAATAAAGGTTTCACAGATCATGCAGTTAAGACTTCAAAAGTGAGATTGTGTTTCACGTGTAAAAAGGGTTGATATGAGAAAATAAATGTCAAAGCTGAACATGGAGTGCTACACCATATACTAAATGAAACACATTAGAATCATTTATATTATTCCATTCGTCATGTTATTTAATATGGCCTATCTTTGGAAAGGTATATAGTTATGATGAGAGATCAGCTGAATGTAGAATTGACATCTCATCAGTGAAGTGTTATGAATTGATCAGTTTGGATATATACTTAGGTCATAATACTAAATAGAAATATTCGTTATTTTCCATAACCATGTGGTGTAATCATAGGCCTACATTTCTGTATCCTCTAGTTTATTCATCTGAATGCTTCTTGATCCACTCATGCAAGAAGATATATAAAACTCATCATGGAAATAATCTATACTAAGCTTTCAATATTGACATATTTATATAAAAATTAACCACAATAGATGTATTAAACATAAATAACTTTTTATATTGTTAAGTCACCACAATATTTATTTTAAAAAGCAATCTTATTATTCAAGTATAAATTCAGTATTTTTTTAGTTCCTACAATTCGTCTGATTTGGTGTATCGTTGGTCTATAATAAATTTTTGTGGAATGGCAATTTTACCAAAACAACTCACTTTCTTAAAAATAAAGCCAGTGTTCTTAATTTCAAATATATCTCATTTGAATAGCTAACATCAACAAAATATATATTTGTCATGACTGATTGTAACAGAGAAACCTAATGAGTCACTGTGGTTACCACAATTCTAGCAAGCCTCCTGCTTCCAGTAGTCTCTGGAGTGTCCACAATTTACTTTCTGAAGTACAAATAATCTAAATGCATCTGAAGTGAGTTCACTCAACTTTCCTTCTCAGAGTCTTCTCAGAGCCTTCTCAGAAAGAAGCTACCTTCTTTCTTGTTTGTACCCTGTTACCTGCCTCAAAATGCCTCTACTAAAAAATAAAAATAAAAAATAAAAAAAACCTCTAACTCCGTAGAATTGATTCTTTCCATCCAACACTATTTCAAATTTATTTTTTCATCACTTCCTTTCTCCTTGTTTAGTGAGAGTATCTTAAATTTATAATTTCTGTTTCTTTGTCTTTTTCTCCTTCTTCTATCTCTGATTCCAAGACTAATCTGTGTCACTGGAAAATGATATTGTTTTTCAGCATAAAAGCCACTTAGGAAGGCCCTGTTGCTTCCCTTTACCCTAAAACACTACAGAGAGTCCCCTGAAATATTTGAAATGTTGAAAAGCTGAACCTACAAATTTCAATTTGCAAATGTATATTTGTTACTGGGAATATTTTTCTCACTAAATTACCACTTCTATTATTTTGGTATAAAAAATAAAATTGTCATTACTTGTTTGATCTTGTGGAGCTTGTTCAATAATGCCAATATCATGTTTTTGATGTCCAGTTACTGTCTTTGTTGTTCCCTCCTATTACAAACAAAAAACAGAAAGCAACAACAACAACAACAATAAAAACTTCAGAAAAAAATTGTATGTATTAATTCAGTCACTCACTCAATTTGTCAGTAGCACAAACAACAACAACAACAAATACACACATTGTATTTATCAAATCATAGGCACTATTCTGGGAGAAGCAGAAAATATCCATGGAAGATAGATTCTAGCCTATATTCAAGAAATGGTAGAGATATGTGAAAACAAATAAGAACAGAAAAGTATAATTCACCAGTTCTACAATTTAGGTCATTAAAATACATAAGGGCAAAAAGGAGAGAAAAATCAGTTTTACCTGAAAAGCATAGAAAATGCTGCCATAATGGGACCATATTTGGAAGGACAGACAAAGTGCAGAGTCAGGATACAAAGACTCTTGGTGCAATAGCATGTGCAAAATAATAAGGCATGAAACAACATGGCAACTGAGGGATGCCAAAGTTATGTGGTAAAACTGGAACACAGTCAGAGGAAATGAGTTGAAGAGACAAAATGGGGCCAAACCATATACGGTATGTGTCACACTAGAATGTGAAATTACCCCTTCATGTAACGGGTATTCACTCAATATGCAGATGAGTTGCATCATTACAAATATAGTTTAGAAAGGTGACCCTTCCAGCGGTGTAAAGATGAACATGGGGAGATGGGGCAAAAGTAGAAAGGAGTACTTCAAAATTATAGGTAGAGAGTTAATTATGATAATAAGATATGGAAAATTATAAGAAGGTAGATAATACAAAATTTGGTGGGTGACTGGATTGGTGACCTGGAGGAGGGTTGAAGTGCAGGATGTGGGGGACGGTTGAAGTGCTGGTTGAAGTGCTTGAGTATTTCATGGCTACTTTCTAGGTATTATTTACTAGTATGGGGAAACCAGATGACAGAGTAAATTACAAAGAGTCAGGAAAGAATCAGGAAAAAAAATAAAAATGATGTTTTCAGTTTGAGACCTATAAGATTTCAGGCATCTAAGGGGCTTGGAAGAAAGATCTGGATAAATACATTTGGAGTATGAGTAGATTACCTACTTGAGGAAAATTACAAAGTGATAAGAAAATAAATATAAGCTAGACTAAATGGGTAGAATTAAAACAAATCTATGCAAACTGCTGAAATTTTGAAAATGAAATCAAAGGGAGAGAGAAAAACATGGGTTTAAGTTTCTCAGTTATATATTTCCAAATTTATTTCAAGAATATAATTTTATTTATATAGGTAAATATTTATTTTTGAAATATTATTGTAATATGTATCTTTGAATTGAATGAAAACATTTAATTTTAAAACAAGATTCTACAAAATGACCTTTATAAAAACCTTGCAAATTTTTAATTGTACAAGAGAAATGCTTACCTATAGAATTATGAGGCATTTTTAAGTACTACTATAAAGTGAGATAGAAATGTGAAACCTTGTTTTAAAATTCACAACATTCAAATTATTCTCTACTAGGTATTTTAAAGAGTACAACAAATTGCTCTTACCTATAATCATCCTTATATTTTATTTCAGCTTTTTATTAAAATCAACTGCAAGTCACTCAGAAACACCTGAGCCATATTTTATTACCTTGCTATGCTTTCTTAATTTTTATTTTAAATAATTTGTGTCATATCTCTTATCCTAGAGAGTTCCTCCTCTCATTTAAACCACTATTTTTGCTGTGTTTTTTATAATAATCTGTGTCATCTTGACTCATTGAGTCTCTATGTTTATCTTACCCTTCTTCAATGAATTATTTCATTTCAACCCCTTCATGTAACTTATTATTAAACAAATATGGTGATATCCATTAGACCATTATTATTATTACTATTATTATTGAGACGAAGTCTCGTTCTGTCGCCCAGACTGGAATGTAGTGGCGCGATCTCGACTCACTGCAAGCTCCGCCGCTAGGTTCCCGCCATTCTCCTGCCTCAGTCTCCTGAGTAACTGGGACTACAGGTGGCTGCCACTATGCCCGGCTAATTTTTTGTATTTTTAGTAGAGACAGGGTTTCACCTTGTTAGCCAGGATGGTCTCAATCTCCTGACCTCGTGATCCTCAGCTTGGGGCTCCCAAATTGCTGGGATTACAGGCAGGAGCCACCACGCCCGGCTGTTAGATTATTTTTTTAACTAAAATAACCTAGGGCAAAAATTTGCTCTCACATAATTTATAGTATTGTTGAAATAATTAAAATTTAAAAAGTTAAATTACATGTTATATTTTGAAATATCTCTTCCCAATTTACAGTTGTATTAATTACCTCTTGTGTGGAAAAATGTGAAAGTTTAGTTTTTTAATAGTTCCTTATTTAACTGGGTTTGCATTGAAATAGTGTAGGTTGTTTCTATTCTGTGCGGCAAAAAGCTAAGTATAAATAATTGTATAAATTCTGCTTCTTCTAAGAAACAGAGAAAAAAAGAATAAATCTTGGGGGGGGTCATGACTGATTAATGAAAATCATACATAGCAACTAAATAGAAACCTGTAAATAAATATGCTGACAATTGAGACAGCAATGCCCTAAAAAGCAGACACTAAAGAAATGTATTCTGTGAGTAAAAAAGTCTGCAGTAAATCATTTTGAAAAGGTGAAGGAAGAGGGAGAAACAAACAAGAGCCGTGACCAGTCAATCAAGTATGAGCTTCATTCATGAAAGAAAATGAAAAACAACTATAAGACATGTGATGAAACACATAAAGTAGACTTTTGTTCATAATATATTCCCATAATGCTGATCGGTATTTACACTATAATTAGTTATTTGTTAATACCTGGGTAATAAAGATTTTAATTTTAGTATTATATAATAAGACGTTCAATTGGTTAAACATGGTCTTCAGCCAATACCTAAAAGCGAGAACATTGTTACTACAGAGAGAGAAAAAATTTAAGAAGAAACGTTTCTAAACTTTTCACCTGAAGAAAGTATTGGTAATCAGAATTTTAGAGTAATGTATTCCTTGAAAAGATACGTTTAATAGAACATGAGTTTTGGACAGGCGCGGTGGCTCATGCTGTAATCCCAGCACTTTGGGAGGCCAAGGCGAGCGCATCACAAGGTCAAGAGATCAAGATCATCCTGGCCAACATGCTGAAACCCTGTCTCTACTAAAATTACAAAAAGTAACTGTGTGTGGTGTACACGCCTGTAGTCCCAGCTACACAGGCGGCTGAGGCAGAAGAACTGCTTGAACCCGGAAGGCAGAGAATGTAGTGAGCCGAGATCACACCACTGCACTCCAGCCTGCATGACAGAGGGAGACTCTGTCTCCAAAAAAAAAAAAAAAAGAACATGAGTTGAGACTAAAATATATTAAAATTTTTTTATTCTAAACTCCACTGGAGGATACTAGAAAATATAGTGTGAACTTCTTTCCTATTTACTACATATCTCTGATTGTCTTCTTATCTGAGACATATCTTCTCAAGATAACTCACATGAATTTATGCATTGTAAATATTAAAAGAAAATACAAATTTAAGCCAGATTTTAGAAATGCCTTAGATTTAATTATAAGATATATTATGCATATTATCTTACTTGTAACATTCCATTACATAAAAATTCATTTGTCTGCTCATTTATTCACATTGAAAACCTCTTAAAATGCTTTTTATATGCCAGACTGTATTCTGGGTACACTAGGATGCACACAAGTGTTTTCTAACCTGCAGTGTCTCATAGTGATGCAAGAGCTTCAAAATGATTATTTAAATAACTAAACACAAAATCTTCTGAAATTTAAAATTTTCAAATGAGATCAAAGATCTTTGAACCATATATTTAAAAACTGCAATTTAAAAATTCTGAAATTAAAATCTTACCATATGCTTATTAAGAGTCTCTGCTTCCAAAATTGTTGTTTACTTGGGGTAAAACCTGCATTCTTCATTTAGATGAAGAGTTTAAATTCTACCTTTAATGAAATAACTTAGAAAACACACTGGCATGCCTTAATAATACAGACTCTGAGAAAGAGAATTTACATTTCTAAATTTCTACCATTATTTTTTAAATTAGAGATAAGGTCTCGCTATGTTGCCCACACTGGTCTCAAACTCTTGGACTCAAGCATCAGCCTCCTTGGTAGTTGGAACTACAGGCATGCACCAGCATGCCCAAATAAATTTTCACAATTTCTAATATTATTTTGGTGTAATTAAAGAACCAACAAAAGAAACTGAGAAAAAACTCTCTCCTAAAAACTACGAGATATCAAAATAATAAGTGCCAAAGAAAAAACCTATATGCTATGTGGCACAGTTTCGGAACTGAACAGTATCAGAGAGATTCCGTGATTACAATAATAAGTAACTGGATCCATTAAGATAAATTTAAGCATGAGTTTTGTTTTAAGTTACAATAGAATAATTTTAAAAGTCACAGTAAGTATACTTATGCAAATAAACCTTTACCAGATTTTATATATTCTCTATTGTGGAAAAGTTTTTTCTAGTAAAATGTTCCTGTTTCTCCAGCCCATTCCGTATTTTGGCCTCATACCCTCAAAGTATTTACCAATGATTTGTTATTTACTGAAGTTTAAAAAAAAAAAAACTGTTTACATCAACAACTCATATTTCTATAAAATGTTTTTATCTGACCAACTTTATATTACCAACATGAAATAATGATACTTATACCACTGCTAACCATGAAAAGTAAATACTATACAGAACTAGATTCCAACTGAGAAAATCAACTTCACAAGAGACCATTTTACCTTGGTAGCAAGATTAAAGTCTTCCTCAACTTTTGTAGACTGTGAATTTTCAATAGTCGGTTTGCCACAAAGACTTTAGAGAAAAAAGATACAACAGAAATGAGCAAATTCATATATTTAAAAAGAAAATCTGCTAGTTCATATCTTGCTGCTCACTCTAAAAAATGAAAACAAAAAACAAAATCTGGGGAAAGATCAGTCCTCTGTATATTATATCATGTTTCTTGGTAGAATTAAAATATGCCCTCTGGTTTTAAAAATGATTTTAGTTACCTATTTTTATTTTTGACTCTACCTCTCCAACCTAGAACATACAATAAAGACTGACTCTTAGTTCCATAAGAAATAGCGACAACCAATATAATTGGCATACCCTGAGTATCATTCGTCCTCCCAAACTGTTCTCAATGATGAACTGGAAATCTACTTAATGGCTGACATAACTTTTGATATCTAAACTGGAACAAACTTGATAATGTAAAATAAGGAAGAAAGATACAGCTACTTTGTCCCTTTTCCATTATCTATCTCTGATTCAAAGACTAATCTGTGTCACTGGAAAATGACATTCTTTGTTTTTCAGCATAAAAGCCACTTAAGAAGGCCCTGTTGCTTCCCTTCACCCTAAAACATAACAGAGAGTCCCCTGAAATATTTGAAATGTTGAAAAGCTGAACCTACAAATTGCAAATTGCAAATGTGTATTTGTTACTGGGAATATTTTTCTCACAAAAAATTGAAACATTAAAAATAATAAAATCTAACTACTTATTTTATACTTGTCCTTCCTTGTTCAGGTCTACATAAACTAGCAAAGCCTTAAAAATCTTTATAGGTACTTATACCCAAGGAGAGAGTCTGCTAGAAAAACTGAGTCCTGATAGTTGGATTTCTCTAAGTACTATACATACACAGAAAGAAAGATCTGGAAGTGGGAGCCACTGTATATAGTGAAAGTTTCTCCCACTTCCAGATCTTTCTTCTGCAGGGCTTCATGGCAGTCTCCAACCTTTAAATATTCAGCTTATCAAAGCACAGACTACTGAAAAGATAAACTCAATGACCAACCAAGAAGCTCTGTATTTACCTGTTCCTGGAAAACAACTAAATGGAGTCTTAGTCATTCACCTCTAGCATAAGCATGTTACCAAAAACCCAACTGAACCATGACTTATATGCCAGTCAGTCTTACCCCTGCTCTATATGTACATGGGTAGGATATCAGAGGCTTGGAAAAAGAGTCAAACGGGAGGGGACATCTGCCTTGGGCCACAGATATATCTAACTCAGCAAACTTTAATCCCCTAGCACTCAAGGGGCTCTAAGCCACTCCTGTGAGATTTGCGGTGAAAGAACAGAATAGGACATTTCTATCTGATTGTGGAGACTTTTCCCAGTGGCTCTTTTTTTTTTTTTTTTTTTTTTTCCATTTTTCATTAAAAAGCTTGAAGTTTGTCCATTCCTCCAATTAAACAAGCAAAAAAGCAGCGACCTATTCAGGATTTCTTTTCAACATTGTTTTAGTATGCCCTTCTAGATAACTACCAATGTCTTCTGTGTTTTTGTTCCTCTAATTTATCTTCATCAAATTTGACATAAGGTCCAACATTCTGATCTCTTTGGTAAAACCCTTACTCCTACCAATCCTGGGACTGTTTCTCTTCAAACTTGGCCTTTCCCTGATAATTTCATTCTTATCTACTTCCACTGGGTTCTCCAGCTAATTCCATTCTTATTGTTTTCCATTTGTTTAATTAGATCCATTCCCTCTTCCTATTATTCAAACACTCACGTACATGATGATATAAAAACAAGAGTAATGGGCTTTGAAATGAGTGTAAATATCACTTCTGCTACCTCCTATATTTAAATAAGTCACTTTGAGTTTCAGACTCTCCATCTGAACAACTATTTTTGCAGGATATTAAATACAGGTTGAAATATGAAAGTATTTTGATTAGTCTCCAAGAGTCTTTAAAATCCTAAAATTCCACGTGCCTTTAATTTTACCTATAGAAAAATGGGGCTGGCAGAAAGGAATAAAATAATAGAAGAAAAGAACACCAAGGAAAGCAGAGAAGAAAGTAATCAGGAAAAGATTATAGAAAAGTTATGGAAGAAGAAAAAAAGATTCTAGAAAAAAAAGGAAGAGTTCATGCAACTAGGCAGGGTACTGCTTTGAAGAAAAACTAAACTGGAAAGTCAGTAAATAGAGAAATCTTAAGAAATAGCCTCTAAATATTATTAACATATCTATATCTATTCTCCACTAAAATAATTCATCTACAAGATTTACCTAGTATTGCTTATGAAACAAAAGCCTATGTCTTGTCGCCACAGCTAAATAAGATCTGCTCTAAAAACTTTCATGATAATAAAGGTACTGATATACCACTTTAACTGTTAAACATGTTAGGACAAAGTCTTCTATTAACCAGTGTTCTAAGGGAAAACTCTAAAAAGAGTTAATATAGGCCGGGTGCAGTGGCTCAAGCCTGTTAATCCCAGTACTTTGGGAGGCCGAGACGGGCGCATCACGAGATCAGGAGATCGAGACCATCCTGGCTAACACGGTGAAACCCCGTCTCTACTAAAAAATACAAAAACCTAACCGGGCGAGGTGGCGGGCGCCTGTAGTCCCAGCTACTCCAGAGGCTGAGGCAGGAGAATGGCGTCAACCCGGGAGGCGGAGCTTGCAGTGAGCTGAGATCCGGCCACTGCACTCCAGCCTGGGCGATAGAGTGAGACTCCATCTCAAAAAAAAAAAAGGAGTTAACATGTAACAAAAGGTAACTTTATGAATTGATCCCATCTGGACCTGTACCTTGATCCTAATGATGCAGAGGTCTCCATCAATCTACACCAAGAGGGAAGAGAAGGGATTTGGGAGCAAGATAGACAGATGTTCAAACTCAAGGGTCAGCTACTTTTTAGCTATGAAATCATAGGTGAATTAATCAACCTTTCTGAACCGCATTTGCCTGATTAATACAAAGTAGGTGATAGTAGCACAGATGCTTTGCAAAGCTGTGTGATGACTATGTGAGATAATAAATATTAAGCACATAATATGTTGTCTAGCCCAGAGTAGAATACTCAGGAGATAGTGATTTTTTTTCTCTATATTTTCTGAGTTAGCATAAACGTTTAAAAAAAACTGCAAAGTCTTACCTGATTTTAGGCTCTACAGAACTCATACCCACTATTAAAGAAAAAAAGTAAAATACATTAAATCAACAAATACAAATAGAAAACACAGAATATTAAAAACCTAAGAGGGCATGATGGCACATGCCTTTAATCCCGGCTACTTGGGAAGGTGAAGCAGGAGGATCACCTGAGGAGTCCAGGAGTCTGAAAGCAGCCTGGGAGACATTGCGAGACTTCAACTTAGCTTAAAAGAATCGTGCACATTTTCGTGCATGATCTAGATCTTGTTTAAAAAAGCATAATACTCCAACACTTTGTTACAAAGACTCAGATGATCTGATATAAAGGATTCCTTTGGGACCATATATTGAGCTATGGTAAAATTATTAAGTATACTATTTTTAGGAAATTAATGCATTAAAAATGATTTTTCCCCTCCTTTATAGTTCTCAAATGCAAGGAAAAATAGAATTTATCACCATTTGATTTCTACAAATGAACTACAGTGTACAATAAACATAATCCAAATAGAATCCTATAAGACTCCCAGAAAATTGTATTAGTAGCAGAATTAGTATAAGTGGACCGTGTCAACCTTAGAAAGGGTAATTTCTAGAAAAATGAACTAGGAGCAGTTAGAAAAGAGTACACAGTAGTCTCTCTTTATCTGCTCTATGTGTAGAAACACACACAACATGATTTACCTCTGCTCTCACACCACAATCATCAAAACAGACGACTTCTGTGACCAAATTTGTGGAGGATTTTCTCCACCAACAAATAACCAACCAATTCTGTAACAGAAACCAGCAAGTTGTCCTCTACTTAATTCCAACACTATCTCGAAATAGTGTCAGATCCCACAGACTGAGGGCTCAGTCTCACAAGACTACCCTCCCACATCAGTTGCAAATCTGGGTTTCTGAAGCATCTAACCATCTGGTTTCAAGGTGGGGTTCTCACAACTCCCTCTTTAGGTTTGACATGCTAGAGTTTCCCAAAGACTAAGGGAAACACATTTACCAGTTTATTATAAAGGGTATCACAAAGGAGACACATGAAGAGATGCATAGAGCAAGTTATAGGAAAGGGGAATGGAGCTTCCATGCCCTCCCAGGGCACATCAGTCTCCAAACACTTCCATATGTTCAGCTATCTGGAAGGTCTCTGTTCCCAGTCATTCTGGATTCTAAAGAAAGCTTTATTATATAGGCATGAATGAAAAAAATCTGTGGCCATTGGTAATTGACCTAACCTTCACCTCCTAGGAGGTTGAGGGGTGGGGCTGAAAGTCCTAACACATCATGTCTTATTCTTTCTTGTGACCATCTCCTATCCTGAAGCTACCTAGAGACTGCCAGCCATCACTCAATTGTTAGCACACAAAGACACCTTTGGAGATTCTAAACATTTTATGAGTTGTATGCCAGAAAACAATGTTGAAGACCAAACATATGTTTCACAATATAATAGACATGGTTTTGATTTCTGTGATTTCAGTTACTCATGGTCAACCATAGTCCAAAAATATTAAACAGAGAATTCCAGAAATATGCAATTCATAAGTTCTAAATAATGTGTCATTCTAAGGAGTATGATGAAATATTAAGACATCCTGTTTCATCTCACCCAGGTCATGAATCATTCCTTTGTGTATGCTATTTGCCCATTAGTCATCAAAATCGTCTGTTCCTGAATCCCAACCATCAACATTATCATGGCTCAATGATCCACTGTCAAATGAAGCGGATGATCCACCTTCTGATATGTCGTCAGATAGCCAGAAATTAATAGTAATCTAACACCACATGACAACTCATACCTCATTCACCTGACTTCATCTCATCATATAGGCATTATGTCAACTCACAGTCATCACACGAAAAAGAAGGGTGAGTACAAGACAAGACATTTTGAGAGACCATTTTCACCTAACTTTGATTACAATGTATTGTTATTGTTTTATTTTATCATGAGTTATTGTTAATTTCTTACTGTGCCAAATTTATAAATTAAACTATCATAAATATTCATATATTTTAAAAAACATGTATATATAGGGTTTCATACTATCCACAGTTTCAGACATTCACTGGGTGTCTTAGAAAATACCTCACATGGATAAGGGTGAATTACTATACTTATTTGTGTGTGTGTGTTTATGTTTGTGTGAGAGACAGACACAACACAGATCTCCACTCTCCACAAGAAGCAGATAAAAAAGACAACACTTTTCCTCGCACTTTACCCTTAGATTTTGACAACTCTAGAAAAATATTGGAATGTGTATTTAGCAGTCTAGACAATTTTCCAGACCCTGGCTATGTTGGCTGCTTTAATTACAAAAAGTTAGGTGGGATCTTGGGAGATTTTTTTATTGGACACCAGAAATATCAATCATATCAACAGTATACTTAAAAACTCTAAAATAATTCTTTTGAACAGATTACCACTGAAGAATTTGTAAGTTAAATTCAATTGACTTTTCAGTAAACTTACTGCTTGAAATTCTCACATTTAAAAGTAATTTGCAACATCACTTTCTCTGACTCCTCTCATACTTTTCTTTAGCCACTGCTCAATCTCCTTTACCAAGTCTTTTGACTCTGTGAAATGTTGATACTCCCAAGGTTTTGTCAATGACTTTCTTCTTATTCTACATCTTCTGCATCATGGATAAGTTCATTGAAATCTATAGCTTTGCCTAATAATTATAATAAAATTATTCTAAGCCTACATCTCCAACCAGAGTTCTATCTCCAGCTAGAAATACCTATAATCCAATTACCTACTGAAAGTATCACACATGAGTGTTTCATTAAACTCATCATGTAAAGAAAACTGTTGGTCTGTCCCATGACTGTTTGCACTTCTCTACTGACCTGACAATTTTCTTTCTTTCTCTTTTTTTGAGACGGAGTCTTGCTCTGTTGCCTAGGCTGGAGTGCACTGGTGAGATCTCAGCGCACTGCACTCTCCGTCTCCTGGGTTTATGCCATTCTCCTGCCTCAGCCTCCCAAGTAGCTGGAACTACAGGCGTCCGCCACCACACCCAGCTAATTTTTTGTATTTTTAGTAGAGATGGAGTTTCAGTGCGTTAGCCAGGATGGTCTCGATCTCCTGACCTCGTGATCTGCCCGCCTGGGCCTCCCAAAGTGCTGGAATTACAGGCCTGAGCCACCGCGCCCAGCCCTGACTTGACAATTTTCTACTCCTTCCCCATGAGCATTGTAAATGCTTATTCACAATCTGTAAACTTATGACCTGAGATTTTTTCTGTCCCATAGCTTTTTAAACTCAATAATAACTAAACACTGTGTTAACCGTATTTCTTTTCTGCCTTTGCTTTATCTTTCCAGTGCCACTGGAAATGCAAACTTATTATTTTATATTTATATTTCCTACTTAGACATGGCCCCTTATCTGATGGCTTTCACAGTGAAAAAGAAACCCTACCAATTACTATTGTTATTTTTTAAGTTTAAAAATATTTAGCAAAACAAGTCAAAATAAAATAATGGCAAAGAAAGACCTACAAGTTTATATGTAAATTGAGCTTCTGAACTGGATTCGTTTTAACCTGGATGGGTCAAACTTTCATCATAGATTGATACTAGGCCACAGATTGGTGACCAAAAAAAAAAAAAAAAAAAAAAAAAAACTATAGCATGAACTACTACAAAAGCTTACTTTGTTTTTAAATCCTTTTATGTAATTATCTTCTATATGAAGGACCAGCAAACTGTATGCCACCAACCAAATTCAGCTTACCAAATGGTATTTTATACAATGTTTTATTGGAGTACAATCATGCCTATTTGCTCACACATTATGTATGACTGCTTTCACCCTACAATGCAGAGTTCAATAGCTGTAATAGAGACCACTTGGCCTAACATACTTAGTTTCTTTTTTTTTTTTTCAGATGGAGTGCTGCTCTGTCACCCAGGCTGCAGTGCAGCGGTGCGATCTCAGCTCACTGCAGCCTCCACCTCCTTGGTTCAAGCGATTCTCCTGCCTCAGCCTCCCAAGTAGCTGGGATTACAGGCACGTGCCACCACACCTGGCTTTTTTTTTTTTTTTTTTTTGTATTTTTAGTAGAGATAGGGTTTCACCATATTGGCCAGGCTGCTCTCGAACTCATAACCTCATGATTCACCTGCCTCAGCCTCCCAAACTGCTGGGATTACAGGCATGAGCCACCACACTTGGTGGTCTAACATATTTCCTATCTGGCACTTTACAGGAAAAGTTTGCCAACCTCTGCCTTATACCATGACCAAAATGCCCTGATACTCAGATCTAATCTTGTGACTCCCCTGCTCAAACTTTTCCAATGAATCCCTGCAGAAAATATTGCTGGCTTCCTATGCATAGTCATTATTTATTCTTTTTTGCTGTAGAAACACAAGTTTATTTAGATATTCATTATTCCATTACCCCATTCCATCTCAAAAAGAGAAACCATTATTCTAAACTAATCACAGTAATTACATTTGCTTTCCTAGTGACTGGCTTAGAAATGGCATATGGTATAACCCAGCCAACAAAAAGGTTACAGGAAGATTACTGCAAGCTTCCAAGTTTTCTCCCTATTTAAAAGAAACATGTGAACAAAAGCAGCCCTTCCAGCCTTTAAATATTGTCTTGAGAGAGCATGATGATTGGAGTTGTTGTTAATTAGCCTACCAAAAGTGGGATCCTGGCTGGGCACGGTAGCTTACACCTGAATTCCCAGCACTTTTGGAGGCCAAGTAGGGGATATCACGAGGTCAGGAGTTCGAGTTTGGCCAATATAGTGAAACCCTGTCTCTACTAAAAATACAAAAAATTAGCCAGGTATGGTGGTGGGCACCTGTAATGCCAGCTACTTGGGAGGCTGAGGCAGGAGAATTGCATGAACCCAGGAGACAGAGGTTGCAGTGAGCCGAGATCGCTCGCGCCATTGCACTCCAGCCCAGGCAACAGTGTGAGACTCCATCTCAAAATCAATCAATCAATCAATCAATCAATCAATAAAAATGGGATCCTATGATATCCCTGAACCACCAAAAGAACTTTAGTTCCTATGGTTTTAGCCATTGTTAGTTAATTCATCTAGTATTTACAATCAGAAGTATTGTGAGAATTTTTCCAGGGCCTACAGAATAAGATCTACTTATTTCTATACTATTAAAAAGTGTTGCCTAAGTTTGCCTTATTTACATATTCAAGTCATTCCCAGCAACTCCCATATCACGCTTTTTTCACTAGGGAACCTGAAGTGACAATAAACCCTACAAAGTTCACTAAAGCATCTTACCATTTGTACTCGCTTTTATAGATGTTTCTTTTGTAGGACATGTGATCATCTTAGATGTTCCTTTTTCCAAATCTTCAGTTTTATTAGGTGTTACTTCTGCCACGCATTCAGTCTTTACAGATGTTTCTTTTTCCTCCCGTGTGATCTTCCTATGTCTTTCTTTTGCTGGCCATTCAGATTTCTCAGATGTTTCTTTTGTAGGCCTCATAATTTTCCTAGGTGTTTCTTCTGAGGACTGTTCAAACTTTCCAGATGTCGCTTTCCCCTGACATTGAATTTTGTCAGATGTTCCCTCCACCAAGGGTGCAGCCTCATCAGGTGGTCTTTCCACCACATCAGGTGGTCTTTCCATCGCTTCTAGCCATGCTCAAGTGTTCTTTCCGCGCCAAGGGTGCAGCCTCTACCAGGTGGTCTTTCCACCAAGCTTGTGCCATGTCATGTTCCTCCGGACATGGTGCAGCCCATCAGGTGGTCTTTCACCAAGCTTCAGCCATGTCAAGTGTTCTTTCCGCCAAGGGTGCAGCCTCTATCAGGTGGCCTTCACCTGGCTTTCAGCCATGTCAAGTGTTCTTTCCACCAGGTAGCCTCTTCATCAGGTGGTCTCTTTCCACCTGCGCCTCTCAGCCAAGGCTGGTGTCAAGCTTTCAGCCATGTCAAGTGTTCTTTCCGCCAAGGGTGCAGCCTCGTCAGTTGTTCCTGCAGGTGTTCCTTCTGCCAAACACACAATCTGGTTAAATTTTCTTTCTGCTAAATATCATCCTCCTGACTCTTCACCTGGCAAACTTCTACTCATTCTGTATGCTTTCCTTAAATATTACCAAACTTTTCTTTTCTCTCTTTTTTTTTTTTTTTTTTTGATGGAGTCTTGCTCTATTACCCAGGCTAGAGCGCAGTGGCGCGATCTCAGCTCAATGCAATTCAAACAATTCTCCCACCTCAAGTGACCCTCTTACCTCAGCCTCCCAAGTAGCTGGGATTACAGGCACAGGCCACATCACCCGGCTAATTTTTCATATTTAGTAGCGATGGGTTTCACCATGTTAGGCTGGTCTCAAACTCCTGAGTTCAAACAAACCATCTGCCTTGGCCTCCCAAAGTGCTAGGATTACAGGAGTGAGCCACTGTGCCTGGACACTACTAAATTTTTTAAAGCTTTAATTCTTCACCTTGGATATAAAATGTCTGACACATGCTGAATATGGTAATGACATGACATAACAAGTAATAATTATAAGCTCTCAAAGGGGTTCTGGCACAGAGTAAGCACTCAATAAAGTAATAATAAAAAAGATGACAATAACAGGAAAAATGCTTAGTACCTTAATAAAGAAGCAAATAAAAAATGACAATGATAATAACAAGGAAAATGCTTAGTACCTTAAAGATACCTGACAGTTATTTGTTAAGTGGACAAGTGGAAAAATGAAAAAAAAAAAAAAAAAAAAAAAAAACCATTTTTAAGGAAATTCTGTTGGAAAAATACAGAAATTCAGTAGGCACAGCTCTACTGTATTATGAGCACTGTAAAGACCCAAACTATGTGTAGTCCATCTTTGTCTCCTGCAGCTTGCTAAATCTAACTTATAGAGGTCCTTTGATAAATACGTAATAAATTAAAGATGTGCTCATACAGTTCATATTGTAAAATGCATTGTGTCACATTTAGGTATCACAGTAGCACTTTCATTATTGTGAAAAATTTTTGTAATTTTTTAATAACTTTTTGAGTTTAGAGTTATTTGAATATTTATAATGATAATATTTTGGCTATTAGAAACAGAGTAACTTCTTGTAACAAAATTGCTATTAATACACTAATTATCCAGCAGATAGAACAACATACCTTGTTCTAATGAAGTAAATATATCTTATTTGGTTTCAGCTTAGAGGGAATGAAGTTGATAATAGTGAGACCTTGTCGGTACAAGACTATGTAACATCCTGCGCTTCTCAACAAAGAATTGCTTTTCCGACTTCTGCACTCCATAGGTATCGTTGAAAGATAATCTCCTATTGGTACTGGTGTACCCTGGCTAAGTTTTGCAATTCTTGTTGACATTTGTTTATGGTGCCAGAAAAGTATTATTAAATTCCAAATTCCAAAGATAGTTACTTTTTTAGCGACACAAGTCACTATGTCACACAGTTGATCCTCGAATAAGGGTTTTCACTCTAGGAGCCCACTAATAGATTTTTCTTTTCCTTTGCCACTGCAGGATAGCAAGACAAATCTCTCCTCTGCCTTCTCCTTATCAGACTACTCAATGTGAAGGCAATAAGAATGAAGACTTTTTTTGTATACTAATTCACTTCCACTTAATAGTGAATATATTTTTTCCTCCTTCTAGCAGTTTCTTTCCTCCAGCTCACTTTATTGTAAGAATACAGTATACAGTGCATATAAAATAGAAACTATGTGTTAATTGACTGTTTATGCTTTCAATAAGGCTCCAGGTCAAGAGTGGACTATGAGCAAAGTTTTGGTGGAGTCATAAGAAACAGATTTTCATATGAAGCAGATTTTCAGCTGCATGGGGGATCAGCACCCTAACTCTTATATTGCTCAAGATTCAACTGTAATTAATTCTCATTTACTAAATGCAAACCATTTATTGTAAAAATTAAATAGAGCCCAGAAGTTCAATACCAGCCTGAGGGCAACATAAGAAGACCCTGTCTTTACAGTAAATAAATAAATAAATAAATAAATAAATAAATAAATAAAATCGTGTTTCTTCATAGGTTATTGTAGGAGTTCATCAGGTTGGTGGGAAACGTTTTAAGATGACATTATAGGACATAGACACAAATCTTCTTGGAAGGCCGAAAGGTTTTGTAAAAGTCTCAAGATAGGGTTATGGCTGAAAGCAGTCTAATCTTTACCTTGAGTAAATAGCTTAAAGTGGGTACAAAGGAAAGTAGAGTAGTTTATCTAAATAGCTTGTTTACTCATGCGTTTTTTTGTTTGTTTGTTTTGTTTTTGTTTTTTTGAGACGGAGTCTCACTCTGTCGTCCAGGCTGGAGTGCAGTGGTGCGATCTCAGCTCACTGCAAGCTCCGCCTCCCGGGTCCACGCCATTCTTCTGCCTCAGCTCTGGAGTAGCTGGGACTATAGGCGCCCGCCACAGAGTCTGGCTCATTTTCTGTACTTTAAGTAAAGACGGGATTTCACCATATTAGCCAGGATGGTCTTGATCATCTGACCTCGTGATCCGCCCGCCTCGGCCTCCCAAAGTGCTGGGATTACAGGGGTGAGCCACCGCGCCCGGCCACTCATGCAGCTTTAAGACTCCCCTTTGATCACCCACCAGCAGGATGGCTCTCCCGGGGTGGGGCGACCAGATTAATTACCCACAGGTATGTTGACTCAAAGCCTTTGTCATTAAAACTTTGTCCACAGGGCCAGCTTGCCAGGGTTGTGGCTGCTGACTCTTTACAACAACTTCCTTGGTGTCTGTAATTGGCTGAGAACCCTCGCTGCTCTTTCACTGAATATCGGTGTCTGGATACGCGTCTCATCTGTCACGTAGCCGGGTCTGCAGGATAGACTCCCGCAGGTTATAATATTCAAATGTTACAGTTTTCTGTTATTAATTCCTACTTTTCGTTATTAGATTTTCGATTCTTTGTGACTTGTAATTCAGGGCATGTAAACTAATTATAATTTGTAATAAAATTTATTTATAAATATATTAATTCATTAAATTGGTTAACCTGATCATCCCCTATTACTGAGCTCATCAATCACACAAAGGGTTATACATTTTATAACAAGTTTAAGTTGTTATGACAATTGAGGAATCATGTACTATACAAAATTGTGTTATATATACAAAAGTATTATATAGGATTTTAGGGACCATAATTAAACATTTTTTCAGATAACATTTTTTGAGATTATAAACTACCTACAACTAAATTCTTAACTAACTCTGAATAATAAACTAAAAAAATTAAATCAAAGCTATATATACATATATGTACACACCCACATATATGTATATATGTAAACACATGCTATTTACACATTGCTTTTTGAATTGCTTTTTCGTGATCAACACTTCTATAATCTTATGGTAGCACCACCAAGAGTAGCTTACTATCCGAAGTCTTACCTGGATTGGTATTTTGAGGATTTTTAGATAATTTTTGTTTATGTTTCAAAAGTTGTTGATGAATGCTATGTATAAAAATGTAATAAATAAAATTACTATTTTAACGCTGATATAAAAAACATTTACTAAATTTATTAAGTTCTTAGAGCATTTCAGACAATATCAGAGCTAACATCAGAACATTACTTATTCCATAGACTTTAAGTTTGTAAGCTCTATGAACTTATTAGGCTTCTAATTAAAGAAGAAATAAAGCAAGATGAAATACTCATGAATTGAGGGCTGTATAACTCAGTAAATTTAACTAGAGTTAGCTTGGCTTAATAGAAAATGTCCCTAACTCAGAAAAAGTCCTAGCGCAGTTACCAACAGGTATTTTTTCTTGAACAAGTTGCTCCTCTTAGGCTCAATGTCTTCTAAAAATGAGGATTTTAGAGCCTTATTTCACTAGGTTATCACAAAGATTTAACAAGAAAACATTTTTAAAATGCTCAAAGAAATAATGAAGCAATGAAATAATTTATTCTTGAACCTTATTGCTGAAGCTATTTTAAAATTCCCAATAAAACACCATGTGTTGGCCTGGTGCAGTGGCTCATGCCTGTGATGCAATCACTTTGGGATGCTGAGACAGGAGGATTGCTTGAGCCCAGAAGTTCAAGACCAGCCTGGGCAACCCAGGGAGAGCCTGTCTCTACAAAAAATAAATTTAATTTTTTTTTTTTAAAAAGTGTTTATTCATAGGTTATAATGTTCAAATGTTGCAGTTTTCTGTTATTAATTCCTGCTTTTGGTTATTAGACGTTCTATTCCTTGTGGCTTGTAATTCAGGCATCTAAGCTATTTTATAATTTGTAATGAAATTTATTTATAAATATATTAATTCATTAAATTGGATAACCTGATTATCCTCTATTACTGAGCTCATCAGTCACACCAAAGGCAGAAAACTAACAGATGTCAGCATCTGGCTTGGACTACTACTACTCTTTATCTACCTCCTTTAACCTGAATGAACAAATCTTTGTTAGAATGATGCTTAGTCACTATGTTCATTTCCAGCTGCTGTAGAAGACAAAACCCTGCCTTTATTTTTTATAAGTTCCACAAAGAAGATGCAAGTTGGTATTTTCTCATTTCTGAGATGCCTACTAACAACATATTGCACAGAAGATCCTATGTGTTACCACACCTCATTTCATATATCACGTTACATAAACATTTTTTGTATGAAAATCACAATTGCAATACTGGGTGTCACCCATTTTGCTTTGACTCACACCGTTTCCTTGGAGCTAGTTAGAAAGTAGTCACATGTCCTTTTGGGGACTGCAAGAAATATGCAACACTTCACAGATTTGTATGTCATCCTTGTGCAGGGACCATGCTGACCTTCTCAACATTGTTCCAATTTTAGCATATGTACCCCTGAAGTCAGCACAAATCCCTACTTTTATATGTGAAGACTATCAGTGATGGATGAGGCTTAGCTCTGTTAAATCTAAACAACTTTCTTGAGATAGAGTGAAGTCTATTGAATGGCTTCATGGTAATGCAGAATTTGAAAATATTTTAAATACTCAAGGTAGAGATGCAAGTAACAAGGAAGATTTTTACTTTTAGGAAAAAAGAATCACTTGAGGGGACAACCACAAGTTGGAACCCACTACAACTTTGGAAAGATGACATGGGATTTTACAGAATAAGATGAGACCTTCCACTACCTACAAAACGGTGCTACACAGGATATAAAGGGCCAGGGATATAGATCTGGTAACAGAATAAAAATGGATCTCTAATTTCTTCCTGTAACATTATTTCAACCTGACTTACAGTTTTAAACTATCACAACTAATATTTGCTAGAGAAAATAGAAAAAAGTCACTCAAAAGATAACTTACCATGAAGGTCTAGGCCAAGTCCAGGTTAAGATGAGGGTTTCACATGAGGTTTTGAGTGGAAGGAGAAGGGTCAATTTGCTCACTGTGTGTGTGGCTAAAGATAAAAGTTCTAGCTGCCAGAGCGGAGTGCTGGTACTTTGGAAACAATGACTGAGAATATGTATGTGAACTTTAAAAAACTGTAATAACTTTGAAGTCTACATACGGATCACTACGAAAACTGAGGGATCTGTGTTAGTAAGGCCATCCTGGTCACAAAGGTCGATCATTGCCAGACTGCAGGCGCAATTTCAATGGCAATGATGCAGCAACAGAATCAATAGAAATAACAAAATGAAGAGAATGGCCATGTCCCCCCAAGTCCTTCTGACTTATACAAAATGAATATCTTCCTTGGACTTAAGGAACCCCTTAGATTCTTTTTAAAAATTCAAGTATTGAGATATGGAAGACAGCCCCCAGGGGACACTATCAGGTTTTCTGCCAAAGTGGACATTTCAAGACCCAAATAACTAATTAGAAAAATTAGAATTGTGACACTGTATTTATCCCGCGCATAGGGATTATACTTCAAATCAAGCAGTCAACATTAGGATCCCTAGGGATAAAGTTGTTGAAAGTCCTAAAATAAAGAATTCTGGACCCAATACTCCTTCTAACTAGTCTGGCTTTTTGCCTAGTTTCTGGCTGTTAAAGTGAATTAAGTCACTGTCATTCAAAAACTACCTGAAACAAACTGTAAAATCTCACCTAGCTTTTAAATGTAAACACTTACAGATTAACTCCACAAGTAGCAGCATAATGTTCTGCAGTCATTCCACATATATCTTCAGCAAAGATGTCAACATTTTGCTGAAGAAGCATGCCAACTATCTCTGATGATCCATCACATATGGCAAGCATAAGGGCTGTGCTACAATAGCAAAGAGATAACTTCTTATGAGCAGAACCAATTTAATATGTGCCTGTCAGTGTAGAATTAACCATTTACATATACTAACAAACATAAGTATCTTGAGTGCTAAAGTGTTTATCCTTGCAAATCACCACCAAATCTAAAAGGAAGGGGCAAAAAGACTCATGTCCCATTGGGATATGGCATACTAGAATTGGCTAACATAAAGTCCTTTGAGGGGCAAGGAATTATGCTTTGTTCACTAATCTCAAAGAGGCAAATATTTAAATGAAAAATTATCTATTTCTTCCTTAGTCTGATATAATATTTTGTACTTCAAAATCAGCTAGAAGTTAGACAAGTGAGAGCAATCTGAAGGCTTAAAACAATATTAGGAATAATGATAGTAGTAGCAGTCATAGTAAGTTTAGTTAATGATGCTGATAACAATGTATGAAACACTGAATTAAATGCTGTTGATATTTATAATGTTACTTCAATATAATCATTCTTAAAGGACATATTATTATTCTCCTTTTCATATAGAAAATCATACTTGGTATTAAGTAATGTTTGCAAAGTCACACCTATCAAGTGAGGAAGCTATAAATTAAACTCAGTCTTGTGTGAATCAAAAGTATCTTTTCTCTTTATCACTCACCTATGGCTTATCTTAATTAACTAAAATATTAATCCAATTAAAGATGTCTTTCCTCCCTCTACCCATTCAAATTAAAAATAAAAATACCCTATGAATAAAAAAGGAAAAAATAATAATAAATTCATAGTATCTGGTGGCAGCAATTAACAGTCACATAGCGATAACCTAAAATTAATATGCTTCAAAGAAAACAACTTTATTAAAGCAAACAGTCATCCTAAAGACAAAATGATTTTATACTCCTATTTCTATTTAATATTGCTTTTTTTTCTTTGAGACAGAATCTCACTGTATTACCCAGGCTGGAGTGTGGTGGCATGATCTCAGCTCACTGCAGCCTCTGCCTCTTGGGTCAAGTGATTCTCATGCCTCAGCGCCCTGAGTAACTGGGACTACAGGCATGTGCCACCATGCCCAGCTAATTTTTGTGTTTTTATTAGAGATGGGGTTTCACTGTATTGGCTAAGCTGGTCTCAAACTCCTGGCCTCATGTGATCCAACCACCTTGGCCTCCCAAAGTGCTGGGATAACAGGTGACAGCTACCATGCCCAGCAAATATTGCATTTTTTAAAAAGTGTATAAAAAAGAGAAGTTAGAAAAATACTATAAAACTGTTAATAATTCAATATTGAATTATAAAATAAACTGAAAAGGTTCACACTTCTTAAAACTAATACAGAACCACTTTCATTAATAGAAGATGATGCAACCAAAAACATCAGATTACACATAAGAATCAGTCGATATAATAAGAGAAGATAAGTCCTACTATATACTGTTCTTTATGTTGACCAGTCCAAATAGTCACTTTTCTTCGGATAATTTGTGTTGATATGTTTCACTGTAATCTAATAATTTTAACTAAATGTTATTAATTTAATATTTCTGACTTGAGTGTTATTAATCTAGAACACTAGTCAAGTGTTTTTTAATTAAAAAAAAAAAAAAAGAAGTACCATACCGTTTAAACTCATTAACTGCATTTGCATTTGCATTTTTTGTCAGTAAAAATTCCACAATTCGCTCACTTCTTTTCATTATGGCCAGTAAAAAGGGTGTGAGGCTAGCCTGCAAAATATCAAAACAATTTATAATCATGAAATTACATATTTCTCAACTGAACTGAATACCTTACATAATATCCTATTAACTTAAACACATAAAATAGAAAGTAAATCAATAGCAGTCCCTTCTTTCTGCCTTTTCTGTGCTTTCCCATGCACTGCACCTTCCCTTATAAACATTCAACCTCTGCATCACCACATTAACTCTGGTTATCTCCAAAAATCATTATATTGTAATGATTTTATGGTTTCCCATCTAAACCAAGAGCTTCTTGAGGGCAAGGGTTGTATCTTTTATCTCTATATCCTTAAACCCTAAGACATAGTAGTAAATAATTTATTTTTGACTAAATGAGTAATCTAAATAATTACCTCTAGGGCAGTGTTTCTTAAACTATATTCCAGAGAATAATTACCTTACCAGAAGCACTGTATCCCAACAGATTCCACCATTATATATGTTCAAGAAATATTATAAAACTGTGAATTAAATGTCCATTATTCAATAAATGACTTGAACTTTGCCTAATACTTATTTGACAATGTATTTTTGTGGCAGAGATTAACATTTGACAAATTAGAATTTCAGGGATACAGTTTTATAAGCTTCCCAAGAAAAATGGAGGTTTCCTCTGGGTGATACAAACTCTCTTGATTCTCTTCTATCAATAATCCCAAGATCCCAGATGCCGATGTCAGACACTCCTGCTCTAAATGAGTCACTAAGGAAGTGGCTCTAAATTAAAAGAGATTGGCTTCAAATGAACTTTGACTGCTTATTATTAAATGGTCCGTGGGGTTTCTCCTGTTACAAGACAATAAAATTTTATCTCAGCTATTAGAAATTCAGCATAAAAGTTTATTCTCAATTATAATGACAATCCTAGGATCCTAATGCATATCTATTTCTTAAAATGCAACAATCCATTTGTATTCTGGTTTCTATTGTAATTGCTACTTAATTTTTGGCAAAACATCAAAAATATGAATAAAATGGCTTATTAATGAAAGTTCTAACTCACCTATGTGGATTAGCATAATAGAAGCCCCTAAATCACTTGAATTTTAAGGGACAATTCTGAGAAGAAGGATATAATATTTTCTGCAATGTGCATAACTTATTCAAATACAACCATGATTAATCTGAAAAGGCTTAAAAGCATTCTAATAAAAGATTATTATTTATGGTTTATATACAGAAAAATCATTGTTTAAAAAAATCTTCTAAATTCTAGACGTCAACCCCAATATTAATGAATTAATGTAATATATAAACTATATATTATAAACACCAATAAACTGCCTTGAATACCTTGAAATCTTTACCAACATATACTATGAGAGAGGAATTGATGACTGAAATATTTACAAAGGCAAAAGAGGTAAGTTGAGTAAGTGATGTAACTAGGTGGGCACAGTAGCAAACTGGAAACATATGCTTTGTGTAAAGCTAGAACGTCTTCTTAGCATGTGAAACAGTCATATGGGCTCAAGAGACACCAGATTCAATCCTTTAAGAAGAAATCCAGATTTCTGCATGTCTCCTAAATTTTACATGTTGACTCAATTTATGAAGGCAAATTTTGCTTTCCTGTAGTTTTACAATAATTGGAAAGAAAAAAAAACTTGGGTGGGAAAGAATATTTGAGAAAGTTTTACCTTTAACAAACTCAAATATTTATCATAAATGCACAGAAAAGCCATAGTCTCTAATAGTTCTTGTAAAAATATTAATATTTAAAGTAAAATCTTAGATAATTAAGTTCTTTCAACATATTTTCATTCAAGGAATATTTGAGCTTCCAAATATAACAGTTTTACGTATGTTAATGTTAAAACAAATGGATTTCAAATATTTTGAAAATAACATTGGTTAACGTCTACCTTGTTTTGCACTTCGATGACCGCACCATGGGACAGCAGTTTTGCCACCATTGACAAATTCTCACTATAAACAGCATAATGGAGAGCTGTGTTGCCATATATATCTACAACATTTAGATCAGCACCAGAATCTATCAGAATATTTGCACAAGCCTCCCTCTGGCATTGTAGAGCCTGTCAGTATTAAAGCAAGAAGTAAATTATAAATTATAGGAAATCAAAATAAGTATTCCACAGGTTTCACAGACTAGTTGTGTTTCAACTAAATTCATTTTTATTCTGTGTATTTGAACCAAATCCATCTTCTACTGAAAAAAATTGACTACTATTTACCTTCATCAGGGGTGTCCTGCTTTCACCATCAAGGATATCAAGTTGGCACTTTCTGTCTACCAGAAATGTTACTACTTCCACATGGCCGTTGACACAGGCCCAGTGTAGAGCAGTCCTATGAGAGTAAGAGGACTTGTTGGCAAAGTTTAGTCCACTGTCTCAAAACTTACAATGATTTATGTAATTGTCAACATTAAACGCCACGCTCTTTCTCTGCCTTCAAAACAAATATTTAATATTCTCCTGAAGAAAGTACAATGTTCATTCACTCTTTTTGCTCACTACATTAACGAAAGAGTGGCCTGTTTGAATACAAAGAATTTGACCTTTGGATTCAGTTCAACTTGAGCTTGAATATTACTTTAAGATCTTTCACTTTCTAGCTGTCACTTAAACTTTCTGTACCTCGATTTTCTCATCTATCAAATGAAGATGAATACAGTAGTTATCTCAGGACATCACTGTGATGCCTCAATGAGAATCTACACAAAGTATTTGGGAGAGTTCCTAGTACGTGTAACAGCTCAGTAATTGTTAGATATTATAATTATTTCTACTACTTAACAAAGAAAACATTTTAAGTAAAATGGTATAATTATGTCTACTACTTTGTGGTGTGTTTTAAAAGTTAGAGGTAACACCATATTTTAAAGATTCCAAGATGCTCAATTTCTCATATTTTAACATCTCTGGCATGGAAATGCCACTTATAAATCATTATTTATTATAACTACATTTGGCAGAAATTTAAACAATCTTTTATTGGTGCATAAAATAAGGAGGCATCACACAATTCACAGTGCCTTCTAAGAAGTGGAATATGGTATATACATATATATGTATGGCAGTCCTACTCACAGGATTAACACTGAAAGCAATTTTACATTTTAAGAGTACTACACAAAAGGAGAGTTGAAATAAAAACAATAAATTGTTAAAACAAGCTACTTCTTTAATATTTTAAAAACTTCAAGCCAAAGAAAACTTTGGATTCAAATAAATAGTTATGGCTCATTTTATTCCATATTTAGATTTACAGAATGTATGGAAATTCATATTTAGATTTATAGAATGTATGTAAATTAGATGTTTTTGACGATTAATATTACTATTTAGAGCTGTTATAAATTTCCAATATCATGGTTGGTAGTTATCTTTTACTAGTTTCTCACTTCAGAAGTGTTTTTGTTTGAAAGATGAGAGGAAAAGTTTCAATTGAGATTCAGCCCTAATACTCCAATTTTAAATCCCTCACTTTGCTCAGGCCGAGCAGGTAAATGCGAAATTTTTAAGGATGAAAAGGTCTTGAGAGTTAATAGAATGTATCTTCTACATAATAGGCATTCAGCTTACATGTGATGAATGGATTAAAAGAATGAATAAATACAGTTAGGAAGTTCAATATCTTAAAAAATTGCTATAAATAAAGCACTTATATTTGCTATTTTATTTTTCTAATAATAAAACTACACTAAAATGATTAATCTATAGTTATTGATATATAAGTAATAAATCTATGTATAATAAAAATATGTGTTTAATAAAATGTATATGTAAATCAATAAGCACAAATAAAAAGATTCTCTTCTGAAGATGCTAAAAATTCACAGAATATACTAATGCACATAAAAAATACATAAAGCGAGAAATTATCTTTATCTGTGCAAAATACATATTGCTGCTCTTCCCAAAAATTATTTCATTAATAATAAACTTTTACTAATAGCATTGTACATGCTCAATGCAGAAATCAAAAATAATAAAAAGGAAAAACATTTTATATTAAAACAAATGTCCTCAAATAACAAATTTTATCATATTTTGGACATAATTTCAGATAACACAAGACCATAGTCTGTATGTATAATCAAACTGAATTTTACCCTCACTTGGTACACCAAAATCCATTTTGAAATATCAACGTACTTCCGTATATGTTTCTGCCTTGAGTGGTCACATATGTTGACCATGCTGTAAACTCACTGAAATGTATTTATAAAAACCATTAAATGGATTCTTTTTAATACGTTGATATTTTAAGCAGTGCTCAGAAAAGAAATTGTGATATGTTTCATTATTTTCTAAAAATATTTTAGTATAATAGAATTGATCACTAATGGGCATATACAATTTTTAAATATGGTACTTACCATCAAATTGTCTATTTGAAAAGTCATCCGAAACTTACACTTTAAAGAGTACTTGAATGTCACTGCCTTTTATCCTCACAAACTTTGTAGGTAGAAAACAGTATTTGATTCCTCTTTTAACTTAAATGTCTTCTCTAACCAGGAATACTAAATATTGTTTCCTATGTGCATAGGTCACTCGCAGATCTTAAAAAAGGACTTTGCCCAGTTTTAAATTAGAGGCCCAGTACTTTTTTTAGATCTGCAATTTAGATAACTAATTTAAATTGCGCAATTTTAAATTAGAGGATTTTCTGTTGATTTGAATGAATTCTCTATAAAACAAAGATTTTTAAACCTAATATGTATACACACATACACATACATGAGTAGTAAATATTTACAAGTATGCTGCCTTTTATTTTTTCACATATGCAGGGTAATTTAATTTTTGTTTTACTAAATTACCCTTCAGAATGCTTGCTTCTGAGCTTCTTAGAAAGGTTTTGTCAACATAAAAATGTATCTGTGTAAATAGGCATTTATTTTTTTTCTGGTATTTTTATCATTTTGTATATTAAAAATTTTTAATCTATATTCCATCAGGAACTTATTTTGTGCCATAAAAATCTAGTTTTCTCCAAAAAGCAGGCATTTCACTTATGAAACTAATTCTTTTCCTACTAGTATAAAGTGTGACCATTATCAAGTTCTAAATTCTTACATATATTTGGGTGTTTCCGGATTTTCTATTCTGTTGTATTCAATTACCTGTCTTTTCAGCTGTTAGCAAATAATTTGTGATTTTTTGTTTGTTTATTTGTTTTTTTAGACAGAGCCTCATTCTGTCACCTAGGCTGGATTGCAATGGCAGGATCTCGGCTCACTGCAAACTCCACCTATCGGGTTCAAGTGATTCTCCCACCTCCAGCTCCCAAGTAGCTGGAATTACAGGCAGCCGACATCAGGCCCGGCTAATTTTTGTATTTCTGTAGAGACGGTGTTTCACCATATTGGCCAGGCTGGTCTTGAACTCCTGACCTCAGATGATCCACCCGCCTCAGCCACCCGAAGTGCTGGAATTACAGGCGTGAGCCACTGCTCCCGGCCCTCCTTGTGCAAATTAATAGCACATTTTGATGTCTAGAAGGGCAGGACTTTTCTACTCCGTTATAAAATATTTAAAATGTCATCACAATAGTAAAAGCCTGTGTAATTTTAAAAACGTTAAAACGTTGATAACTTTACTTGGTTTATGTAAAATTGATAAAGAAGTTGCATCTTGAGAAAAATGAGTCTTCTTAAATTCAAGAACATAAACCATCTTCCCACCTCGAAGTTTCCTTCTAGGGTCACTCAACAAAGAACATATTTACATAGACATTCATTGATATCAAAATGGACATTGGACTTTATTCAAAGAATTTTTAGCCAAGAAGTTCATATATTATAGGAATTATTTCATTATGCACCATTTCATAATGTATCTAACATTATCTTTTAAAACCTGTACATTAAAAGTAAAACCCTGTATGTACTTAATTTTGTGAGTTAAATCACTCTAAAATTTTCTACACAGTGTTCTGTGAGAGGAAGTGGGAGTGAAGAAGAAAGCAACTAAAGTTTGGAGTTGATTTTAAGGTGGCCTGGGCCCTCTGCCCTGCAGGGCGCCCCCATCCCAGGCCTGGGGGGCCTGCCCAGGATGGCGGCCCCACAGCCCGCCACTCCTCCACCCGCCACTCCTCCACCTGCTCCCCTCGTCCCCAGGCCCCCTAGCCCCTCATTCTGAAGGGGCGATCCTCCCACAGCCACCACCTCCTCCTGCAGCCCCGGCAGAGGCAGGGCCTGGTACCTCTTCTTCACATCTCTTTTGTTCAGGTCGATGGTTTTCTTCGTTACCGTCATACTCTCCAGCTTCCGGACTTGGCCCAGGGAGGCAGCTTTATGGATCTTCCCGAGATCCCCGAAGTGGACGATGTACGAGTCGTTCTTGGCGTAGACCAGCTTGCTTAAGGCGCTCGGGCGCTCCGGGTCCGGCACGCCCTTGCGAGCGGCAGCTAAGAGCCTCTTCATGGCTGCAGCTCCCTGCTAGAGAGAACCCGCGCCTCCCGCTCGCCCTTCCCCAGCCCCTACCGCTCGCCCTCGCTTCTTGCTGGCCCTTCCCCAGCACCCACCCAGCTCCCACTCGCCCTTCTTTAGTTCCCGCACCCGCCCCAACACCAGTAAAAATTTCTGTATCGCCAAGCTCTTAGACACTCCGGCCTCTCTCGGGAGAAATTCTGAGCAGAGCCGTTAGGCAGCAGCTCACGCGCAACTCAACAGGCTGAGGAGACACGCGCCCTGGCCGCGCTCCACCGGGCACCGCGTGCAGGTGGCACCTGCCGCTGAGGCGCTGCCGGGCTGGCGGGCCTCCTTGGAGCAGAACGTGGCGGGCGCCCTGCAACACGGCCTGCTTGACGTAGCCGCCCCTGGCCCCTCCTCGACCCGAGATCCAGAAGCTGGACCCTGGTGCTGGGCACCGTGCAGCCTCCAGAGTGGCGCTGAGCGTCGATTCCCGCCTTCCTGCAACTGGGGACCGACCCCCTGACTTAGGCGCCCTGGAGGCTTCTGGCCCAAGTATCTGCCGTGCTGGTGGTGCTGACAGGGTCCGGGTTGGAGCCCCTGCTGCCGCGTGCCATGTTCAGGTGGGAGCTGCACCTGAGTCCACAGTAGAGGCTGCAGGGCTGGGCCCAGACCGCTGAGGGTCGCCGAGTGCACCCCCTTCCACCCTGGACTCTGCTCTTCCTTGGCCGGCGCTGGCAGCGCAAGCTCGCGACCTCTGGGCCCTGTATAGCTGACAGGATGAGGCTTTGCGGCAGGTTCCCGCCCTCCCACGGCTGAGGTCCCACCGCCTGACTTAGGCGCAGTGGCGGTGTCCGACCCTGGGGTTCGCCGCTGCTGGTGGCACGGACAGGTTCTGGGTTGCCACCGCTGCTGTCACGTTCAAATGCCAGCTGCAGCTCAGCCTAGGGCTGATCCTGATCTAGTGATCTGCCTGCCTGGGCCTCCCAAAGGGCTGGGCCTACAGGCATAAGCCACCGTGCCAGGCTGTAATGTTTATTTCTTGAGACAGAGTCTGGCTCTTGTCGCCCAGGCTACAGTGCAATGGTGCGATCTCGGCTCACTGCAACAACCTCTGCCTCCCAGGTTGAAGCGATTCTCCTGCCTCAGCCTCCTGAATAGCAGAGAATACAAGCATGTGCCACCATGCCAGCTAATTTTGTATTTTTATTTTTTAGTAGAGACGGGGTTTCTCCACGTCGGTCAGGCTGGTCTCAGGAACTCGCGACCTCAGGTGATTTGCCTGCCTCGGCCTCTGAAAATGCTGGGATTACAGGCGTGAGCGGCCGCGCCTGACCCGTTACTTTGTAATTTAAGTAACATCAATGCCGGCCGGGCGCGGGGTTTCTGGCCTGTAAACCCAGCACTTTGGGAGGCCGAGCCCGGTGGATCACTTGAGGTCTAGTTTGAGACCTGTCTGGCCAACATGAAGTGAAGGCCGGTCTCTACTAAACACACAAAAATTAGCTTGTTACTTGGTGCAGTGGCTCAAGCCTGTAATCCCAGCACTTTGGGAGGTCAAAGTGGGCAGATGGCCTGAGGTCAGGAGTTGGAGACTTGCCTGGTCAACATGGCAAAACCCTGTCTCTACTAAAAATAGCCGGGCATGGTGGTGTGCGCCTGTAATCCCAGCTACTAGGGAGGCTGAGGCAGGGAGAATCACTTGAACCTGGGAGGCAAAGGTTGCACTGAGCTGAGATCAAGCCATTGCACTCCAGACTGGGTGACAGAGCGAGATTCCGTCTCAAAAACAAAGTCCAACTAAAAATAACAAATAAATAAAAAATAAAAAGTCTAACAAGTTGTAGAGACTACATTTCATTAACTTACACTGTTTCCTTTGTTAGTTTACAATAAATAAAATTTAATTATTATTTATTCCAGAATAGGCTAGAAAGGTATAATGGGCTCTTTTTTCCATTGAAGATGAAAAATAGGAATGATTATCCTTGGCTGTTCAGAGGTCCTTGAAGGTCCTTGAATCTTCACAAAGCAACTCACAATTTCTGTTCTTCTGACTTTTATCCCTAGTGAAATTGATTCTTACCAATTAAACATCAGTAAAATGACCAAAATAACTATAACATGATGAAGGGCTAATAACTAAAAACATATTCAAATATACATGACCACCACTAAGACCTTGATCAACAAAAGGACAAAGAAAATGAATGCGCAGTTAACACATACGTGTATATATGGGACTGTATTCTTTTCACTAGTAGTAATTAAAGAAATGCTAATATAAAAAAGAGTAAATGAACCATCCTACAGTATTAAATGGGCATAAGAAAGGAATACCGATGGTCCAGTTAATAATACTACTGAAAAAGCATACTAATATTTTTCTGGGGACATTGTAAATTAGTATAGTTCTTTCTGGAAGAAATCTGCCAATATGTTTTTAAAAATAAAAGGATTTAATTCTCTTTGATCTAGTGGCTTATGCTTTGAAATTTATTCTAAGGAAATTGTTTAAATGAACAAAAACATACATAAATGAAATTATTTGAAGCAGCATTCTTTCTAATAGGGAGAAATTAGAAATTACTTGAGTTCATCATAGAAACATGGATAAACGATAGACTATCAACTTAGAAACATATTGTATTCTTGACTGGGTGCAGTGACTCACACCTGTAATGCCAGCACTCTGGGAAGCTGAAGCAGGTGAATCACTTGAGGTCAGGAGTTCTAGACCAGCCTGGCCAACATGATGAAATCCCATCTTTACTAAAAATATAAAAATTAGCTGGGCATGGTGGCATACACCTGTAGTCCCAGCTACTTAGTAGGCTGAGGCAGGAGAATTGCTTGAATCTGGGAGCTGGTGGTTGCACTGAGTAGAGATCGTGCCACTGCACTCTAGCCTGGGGGACAGAGCAAGACTCCTTCTCAAAAAAAAAAAGAAAAGGAAAGAAACGTATTGCATTCTCTTTCGGAAAGGGTAGAGGAATGGAAAAGTATTAATAATGAAAATAACCAAAAATTGGACTTATAAATTATAAACTACATAATTCTAACTATTAATACTTGAAAATATGTGCAGATCTACAATTCTTCATGGGGAATTACAAAATCCAACAGTTATGAATACCTAAACTTAAGTTTGGTAAAAATCTGATCTATGCTGATGTAGGGATATTTATAGTCTTTTTTTTTTTTTTTTTGAAATGGAGCTTGGAGTTTTTGCTCTATTGCCTGGGCTGGAGTGCAATGGCGCGATCTCAGCTCACTGCAACCTCCAGCTCTTGGGTTCAAGTAATTCTCTTGCCTCAGCTTCCCCTGTAGCAGGGATGACAGGCACCCGCCCACATGCAGATAATTTTTTTTTTTTTTTTTTTTTTTTGAGACGTAATCTCCCTCTGTCACCCAGGCTAGAGTGCAGTGGCACGATCTCCGCTCACTGCAAGCTGCACCTCCTGGGTTCAGGCCATTCTCCTGCCTCAGCCTCCCGAGGAGCTGGGACTACATGCACCTGTCATCACGCCCAGCTAATTTTTTGTATTTTTAGTAGAGACAGAGTTTCACCGCGTTAGCCAGGATGGTCTCGATCTCCTGACCTCATGATCCGCCAGCCTCAACCTCCCCAAGTGCTAGGATTTTAGGTGTGAGCCACCACACCCGACCAAGGGTATTTATAGTCTTATTGATCCCAGTTCATGTGATTATTCATATGATTTGCCACTAGGGATATTCCATAATAGGCAGTATATTTACCACATTATCTTTCTAAAATCTAAATATTTTTGAATTGTAATTTCAAAGAAACCTGACTTTGAAACTTTATTTTGAAATTTGATTCTAAGGAATTCAGATAAGCTATTGGAAAATACCACAAATGACAAAAATTTTGCATTAAGATAAAATTGATAGATTTAAATCTCTTTGCAGCCGAGCGCGGTGGTTCACAACTGTAACGCCAGCACTTTGGGAGGCCGAGGCGGGTGGATCACGAGGTCAATGGATTGAGACCATCCTGGCCAACATGGTGAAACCCCGTCTCTACTAAAAATACAAAAAATTAGCCGGGCGTGGTGGCGCATGTCTGTAGTCCCTGCTCAGGAGGCTGAGGCAGGAGAATTGCTTGAACTCAGGAGGTGGAGATTGAAGCAAGCTAAGATCGCACCACTGCACTCCAGCCTGGTGACAGAGCGAGACTTCGTCTCAAAAGAGAAGAAAAAAATTAAATTCCTTTGTATATCATAAGGGTCTAATTTAAAAAAAAAAATTGTAAAATATCTTATATGTATATTAGTATTACTTATCTGTTCTTATCACTTCATCAATGTGAGGCGTAAATAAAATTTGTTAAGTTAAAACTTTCGGTATATTTTCATTCATTTATTTACTTATTTTGAGACAGAGTTTCGCTCTATCATCCAGCGCAACCTCCGCCTCCCAGCCTCAAGAGATTCTCGTGCCTCAGCCTTCCAAGCAGCTGGGGCTACAGGCATGTGCCACCATGCCTGGCTAATTTTTTAAAGTCCTATATCATATAAGATCATTAGAGTTCTGGGATTATTTTTTGTTTGTTTGTTTAAGAGACAAGGTCTCACTGTATCACCCAGGCTGGGGTGCAGTGATGTGATCATAGCTCGTTGTAGCCTGGAACTCCTGGGAAAAGCAGTTCTCCCACCTCAGCCTCCCCAGTAGCTGAGACTACAGGTGCTTGCCGCAACGCCCAGCTAGTTTTTACATTTTCTGTAGAGAGAGGTCTCACTATATTGTCCAGTCTGGTTTCAAACTCCTGGCATCAAGGATCCCCCCCAACTTTGGTTTCCCAAAGTCCTAGTATTACAGGTGTGAGCCACCATGCCAGGATAAGAACATGAGACTTCTTTTATCATATTTTTTATATCTAAGTGGAATACTATAGTATTATGTGTCAGTGTTGAATTATTTTAAAATATTATTCACTGAAACATGCTAATAATCTGGGTCAGTTTCTATCTTGACTTAGGCTTAAACATATTAGCTAACATGAAGGGCCCAAAATTAATGATTCCATACCATCTCTTTATTTATTTATTTATTTATTCATTGAGACAGAG